ATGCTTATATTTTCCATAACATCTTTGGGAGTTTAAGATAGTGCAGATGTTGGTTTATTTGGTATAAAAATGTAAAATGTGATTCATTTCCAAGTACTGCTTTATGCTAAAGACTAACTTCTGAAAATTATAAAGCTGTTTGCTGGTTTGGTTTCCCTAAGTCTCGTAAGTTTGTGATTACAAAAGGAGTCTCTTTCAAATCAATTCTGTGTGTCATCAGTTCTTCACCTAATTGCCACCATGAGATTTTTTTCCACCTTAAATTCTCACTTTTTTTTTAAGTACCTGTAGCTTTAACATATGCTCACAAATCCAAACAGAAAAGAAGTTTTGAATTCCATACTTTATTTGTAGAGTATGAGAATTTTTGTTTTTAAATAATTTAAAATTATGTGCTTCCAATGTCTATACTTTACTTTTTAAAATCAGGCATTCAAATAAGACCACGGTGGCTAGAAGACCATTAATTTTTCTTGATTCCTTTGCCTAGGACAGTATGAAACTAGAGGAGAAAGGAGCAGGCAAGCATCAAAGGGTTGAGGGGGTGAACGGGTAGTCTGGGATAACTACAGAAAATGTAATATGTGCCAAAGGTTTCTGAACCCTAGCATATAGCCTAATGATTAGGAAGTTCAGATTGTATTTCTTTCTCAGTGCCATAGAATTGCTGATAGTGCTTGCTAGAAATAGTTTGAAACTATACTTGAACTTTACCCTAACAGTATAGTTATACAATTAACTTTGATAACTGATGTTTGTTTTGAACTGTTAAAGAAAGTAGAGGTGTTATTGAAACAGATTCACTGATGTCATTTTAAAAATATGGAATATTGAGATGGGGAACTAATTACAAAAGCAAGACTTTAGGTAAGTAGTTTTAAACTTCTTTACATTATGAAAATCTGATGAAAACTGTACGCACTCTCATCAGAAAATGCACATATATGGAAATTTGCATACACTTACAGAGATTCACAGACCCTTTTCCCATTTGTGGACCCTGCTATGAGTCAGTTTCTTCATTTTTGGACAGTTCTTTTATTTAGTTTGTGGCTAGTGTAATTTGTTATAGAGAAGATGATGCTAATGAACTGAGGTTATAGGTTTAATTTCCATAAGGGACACTTAGCTGTACTTATTAGGTCTTCGGAAAAGTCATGACGCATGTTTGCAACAGATGGCACTAGTTCATTTTTGGAAGTACTAGAGTCATTCGCATCTATGTTGTTGCTATGTCATTTGACAGCTGACTGTTCTAGCTTCATTCTAAAGAAAATTGAGCAATTTGGTTTGAGTTTTGGAGATTTTACAACAAGTTGAAGATGGAAGACCAAACTGCATTTTTGCCATATTTTACTGTTTTACTTCCATAAAAGGAAGAATGCGCGTCAAGCTTGTGAAAAGTTGCATAAAGTTTACAGTGACAATGCTCTACAAGAACATCAGTGCCAACGATGGTTCACGAAATTCCGTGCTGGTGATTTTGATCTCAATGACACTCCTCGGTCAAAGAGGTCCACCACTGAAGTTGATGATGACAAAATAAAGGCATTGATCAAGTCAAACCCATGTTACATGACACGAGAGATTGCAGAAACATTGAACATCCATCATTCAGGTGTTCACGACCACCTGAAGAAGCTGGGATATGTAAGCAAGCTCAATATTTGGGTTCTGCATGAACTCGAAGTTCATTTGACGGTGCGTATAAACATCTGCAATATGCTAATTAAACATGAGGAAAACCATCCTTTTTTGAAGTGACTAATAACTAGTGATGAGAAGTGGATTGTTGACAACAATGTGGTGTGCAAACGGTCTTGGTCCCGACGTGATGATTCACCTCAAACGACATTGAAAGCAGACATTCATCAGAGGAAGGTTATGCTCTCAGTGTGGTGGGATTTTAAAGGTGTCGTATTTTTCGAGCTCCTACCAAGGAACCAAACAATCAATTTAAATGTGTACTGTTAGCAATTGGACAGTTTGAACGAATCCATCATCCAGAAATGTCCAGAGCTTGTTAATTGTAAAGGAGTTGTGTTCCATCGCGACAACGCGAGACCGTATACAAGTTTGATCATCCGTCAAAAATTATTGGAGCTTGGATGGGATGTGTTGCCACACCCACCATACTTGCCTGACCTTGCGCCATCAGACTTCCACTTGTTTCGCTCTCTTCAAAACTCCTTGCGTGGTATAAGGTTCAATTCAGGTGAGACTGTAAATCAGCACCTTGTTTAGTTTTTTGCAAATAAAGACAGGTTCTTCTATGAACAAGGAATGATGAAGCTCACCGAAAGATGGCAAAAGGTTATGGAACAAAATGGGCAATGTATCATTGATTGATCTTTGTTCTTTATATAAATAAATGACCTTTGAAAAACATTGACAAAATATATCATGACTTTTCCAAAGATCCAATACACTACAGTCACAAATATAAACATGAACTATTTTGTGTGTGGAAAAAAACACCCATGTGTATATGCATGCCATTGACTATAATATTATCAGATGAAATCGTGAATTAATCAACAACCAAAAAAAATGCAAAATGCATAAGTGAATGTTATAGCATAGGAAGTTATTTGGGAATAAGTACATACTTATTCTCCTTTTGGAATTGTGATCTTATTTTAGATTATGATCTTGGAATATGGTGACACTGAATTTAAAATTCAATTTAAAATTGATTTTATTTTTTGAACATTTCAATATATCCTCTTTTTTTTTTTAAGTTGCAGAAAATGACAGTTTATTAGAAGAAAAAATACATTTCAAAGAAATAGAAGCAGGCCTGAACAGTAGAAAATGTCTCAAGGGCCATTATTAGAAGAGAAAGTACACTCCAAAGAGTTGCGAGCAGTCTGAGCAAAGGAAGCTCAAAAGGCCTATCCTCTTAAAATAATCATAGAAACCTCAGGAGTTCCAAATCTGGAGTACGTGATCACTGGTACATCGAGTACAGATGAATGAAGAACAATGAGCATTTGCTTCCTTGGAAGCACATATATGTGTGTATGTGTGTGTGTGTGTGTGTGTGTGAGTGTGTGTATTAGTCATGAATGAAATGTTGCAATAGTATATATATTATAACATATTAATATATTTTGGGGAGAGGGTCTTTGTTTTGTTGTTTTGTTTCTGAAGTTTAGATGAATATAGTAATAAATTCCAGTCTTGGTGGAATTTATTAGCGAAAAATAAAATTCGATATCAGTGGTTCTCAGTCTCAGTTGTCTTGACATCTTCATAAAGATTTATATATTCTTTTAGACCCTCAAATTTACTTTCTTATTTTTTTAATTTATCCCAGAAGCTTACATGCATGGTATGTAACTTAGTTTTGTGTTTCGGAATAGATACTGACTGAATGTGCTTCATGCCATCTAACGCTCCAGTTACCTGTATGCCCCTCCTGTAACTTTATGAACTTTACAGGCAAATTTCCTGTGAATCCGCATTGAAAAATACAGCCATAGACTACAGCATTAATGTTCAAACTATTTGCTCATTTATTTATTTCACTGGAACATATATGATTTGCTTGAAGTATATAACAAATCATATATTCCTGCATGGTTTAACATACTCATACTTAAACTCAGTAAATATTTGTTTAACAAATAAATGTCATGTATCTTTAAGATGAGCAATGAGATCCAATTCTGATTTTGAGACCTGCCTTTTTTTTCCCCATGAGCTATCACAGGGCATAATTGTGAAGTGTTTAAAGAAAATAAGTATGCAGACCTCATTTTATCCTTCAAGAAACAGATTTTGAAATCAGACACATAATGGCATAGTCACATCCACAAAATGTGGTCATCACTATAAAATAGCATAAACAAAATTAAGCTTTATGTTTTTTTATGGAGCATACTAATGCATTTAAGACCAGAATAACAGCAGTTGAAAACTATACATCATACTATAAGTATTCTAATATACTAAACAAAATATCCTTCCAGGTAATATGGGAATTTCCACTATATGTCTGTGCTTAGAGGAAATTTTACAGGGATGCTAAGCATTGAATGGTAGCCATATTACTTAGTAGATTATTAAGTTAGAATCCTTAATATTTAAAAATACATTATTGTAGTTCATGAATTCCAAGTTTAATTGATCTTTTAATAACTTAGTAGTACTAGTAAATAGCCCTGGCTACCATGAGAAAAATGAAAATCTAAAAATTCCAAATCATTGCGTATTAGAACCAAAAAAAAAAGGTCTTGACATTTGGTGGCTGCTTTCAGCCTTTCAGGAGGACCCCGAAAGCTACCAAAGGAGTATTGAAGATTCACTGGCCACCCAGGAAAAAGAGTATAATACTATAACCACATCACTAACTGTACCTTGAGAGAGAGTCTTCTAAATTTGAGGCCAGAATTATAACGTATCAATTATATATCCATATTTCAGGGGATCAATTGATAATGTAACTAGCACAAAGGAAGGATTGTATGGAATGAATCTGGGGAAGACCCTCACCCAATGCATTGTAAATTCTCTGGGAACAAAGCTCTTTGGAACCAAGTTGATCTGGGTGTGAAATAAATAAAATGTAAACTTTTGTCATCAGATATGGTAGGTGTGAACTCTTACATAGCTACATAGGACTTCCACATTGCTGAGTAGGAATGCATCCTGGGAAAAAGACAAGGACCCCCTAAGAATGAAAGAGAAGCAAAGAGGCTTTATCCTCAAATGCTTCTGTAGGTCTTCTATATGATTTTTTTCTTGTGGTAGCATTTCTGACAGAGTACGGACTGTTTTTCATTACCAAAGGTATTAGCAGTTTGTTTATATCTGAAGAAAATGTACCTGTTCACTTGTGAAAGAAAAAAATGTATGACTTTGCTAATAAGTAGTTGATATGCAGTTCAAGACCAGTAGTAATATGTGTAATCTGATCAGTTAAATAAAATCAAAAGTAAAGGATTATAACCACTAACTTTGTTGACCACGATTGCTTTTTCTTTGCTTGGTCTTAGGGTTTTGACCCACCACATCAAAGTGACACAAGAACTATTTACATAGCCAACAGATTTCCTCAGAATGGCCTTTACACACCTCAGAAATTCATAGATAACCGAATCATTTCATCTAAGGTAAGAATACTTTTATTATTAAAATTGTAGATATGTACCATTTTGTTTTGAAAGATGATTTATTTGTGAATTCTAGTATACATTTATAGCCTTCAAACTTCAAGGAAGCAGTGGTTGGTAGATTTATCTTAACCAAAATTGTGAACTGTAAAATAAAAGGAGTTGCCAATTGCCAATATCAGGTAGCCAACATGCCAAATATTATCCTTAGTTGAAATTAAACTAAGGAACTAATATTCATACTATGTCATGCACAGTATTAGGTACTTCTCATAGCATATAATCCTTACAACAACTCAGATGGCTTTACTAAGTGTTATACTCATTTTTTCAATTGAAGTGCTGAGAAATAATTTACTAATTACTCAGGGTTGCACACTAGTAAGTGATGAAACTAGAGTTTGATCTCAGTTCTGTGTGCTTTAAAGCCCAACTTTCTCCAGTTTTATCTCTTCTGTAAGTATTTTATACGACCAAAGTACAGCTTCACTCTTACACACTCTTCCTTGTTTCATTTTTTCCTATGGCATTTTTAAGATGTCTTAAGTTTATTTTGAAATGGAAGATTATAGAGTAGTGCTGCCCAATAGACTTTTCTCTCATCATGGAAATGTTTTCCACACTAATATGATAGCCATTAGCTACATAGGGCTATTTAGGCCTTGAAATGTGGCTAACGTAACCGAGGAACTTAATTTTAATTTATTTTAAATTAAATGTCGGTGGCCACATGCGACTAGTGGTTACCTTATTGGACAGTGCAGTTACAGAGGACGTGACTCAAAGAGACTAAGAGTCAAATTCTCCTTAGATCATAACTGTTGCTTAGTAAACCACCTTAAGCAGCAATTTGTATTGCTCCTTCCTTCCCTTCCAAAATAACTAATACTTTTTCCTCTAGTCCTGATCTCATCTTTCCCAAGGATGTTGTCTTAGGCCAGTGGTTCCTTTGCCCTGCCCCTTTACTTCAGCCTGCACCTTATTTACATAGGCAACACACCCATTAGTGACATCTCATTTTGGACAATGGTTCTAAAGCAGAGGGCAGAAAAATAAAAGAATCTCGGGTAATAGAGGGGCTCTATAATAGATTAATGATACAGTTCTTAATAGCTTATGCAAGAAACAATATCGAATATTTTCGTTACTACAAAAAGCAGCCAGTCCTCCTCCTTTTCACTTCTCGCACACTAGCAACCACTGATCTACTTTCTGTAACTACAGTTTTGTCTTTTCTGGAATTTCATATAAATGCAGTCATGTAGTATGACAGTCATACAGTAAGAGCCTTTTGTGTCTGACTTCTTTTCACTTAACATAATACTCCTAAGACTCATCTTTGTTGTTGCAAGTATCAGCATCAGTAATCCATCCCTTTTTAGTGCATAGTTTAGCTGTCAACCTGGGTTTGGATATTATATGTCCTGAATTTGGATCATTTTTCTTTCTTTTTTTAAAGATTTTTAATTGGGGAATTGGGGAAGGAGAACAGACAATTTGCTGTCCTTTTGTTATTCAGTCTAGTTGTGGAGGATGTCGCTTCACTGGCCCATGTTGGTATTATCATTGTGCTCTTCCCTGGTGAGGCAGTCGCTCGTTGGCCATTGGATGGCCGCTCCTGGCGGCTCACAGCAGCTCACGAAAGCTCACCCCTGCTGCCGGCCAGCCCCACTGTAGCCTACGCCGTCACCGGTGACTCACAGCAGCCCAGCTCCAAGTCGAGCTGTTGTTCACCATCTTAGCTGTAGAGGATGCAACGTCACTGGCCTGCATATGGGCTCCGAACCGGGGACCTGCTGCTCAGAGCTGGTGTCCCAAGCCACTCTTAACCAACGCGCCACTTGGCCAGCCCGGGTCATTTTTCTTGAGTAATTCTTTTACTACCAGTATTTTCCCCTTAAATTTCCAGTTAACTTTTCAGCCCTGAACTCTAATCTCTGTCATATTTTGTTGATAAGGGTGTAGTTTTCTTCCTACTGTTTTGTTGCCATAGGTGTGAGAGTTTGGATAGTGTCTCCAGACTAAGAAGACATAGCTCACAATGAATACTCGTTCCATATGCAGTTTTTAAAAAATTAAACTCTCTTCCAATTTCTATCCATATTTTGGACACTTTCCAGAATTTAAAATAGTTTTTTTTTTTTAATCTAGTTTTTGTAATTCTTATCTGCTGGGAATTCACAGACCACTTAACTCCTCTGCCAATACTGGAAGCTGAGTATCCTGGAAAACTTTTGGGATTAAATGTCTTTATATGACTGTTTGCATATGCAACAGTATTAGATTTAATGTTTTTGACCACACTTTAAAAAAACGTAGACATTTAAATAAACATTGCCTTTTTTTAGCATACGTTACTCCCTTATTACTTCTTTATTATTCTACTACTGCTTTCATAAACTCCTTCCAAGCCAGATTACCTGCTATTCCATAAATCCATGTTGAACTTTCCTGTCACTGTGCCTTTGCTATGATTTTATGTTGATAACCACAATTTTTTAAAATAGATTTTGTTTTTTTAGAGATTGTAAATTTCATGTTTCTGTAGAAATGTAGAATTCATGTTTTTGACCACAATTTCAAGAATGTGGATATTTATATAGACAGTGTCCATTTTATCCTGACCATAAATGAGGCTGGCTGGCTTATTACTCCCTTTCTACTACCTTTGCACTCCCGTTGTTCCCGTAAACTCCTTCCATACTGTATTATCTTTCACCCCACAAAGCCATGATCTTTCCTCCTCCCTGCCTTTGTTTATGCTGTCCTTCCTTCCTGAGATGTTCTCCCTCTGTTTACCCCCTATTTTCAGCCTATTGAATGTTCCTCTCTGAAAGCTCATGTTAAGTATGACCTTTATTAAATTTTTCTTACTGACTGCTTTTCCTTTGAATTCTTTGTATATCCCTTCATTTACTTTATCTTTGAATGCAGCTATAGGTATTTTATTCTTAATCTCCCCTATTTAATATTGAACTTATAATTGATCCTCTTATAGTGCAAGTGTCTTGCACATTTTAGATGTATGATATGTCTATTTAGTTTATCATAGCAACTATTTTATCTTAAATTTAAACTTCTTTGCAAAAGATTTAATTTTATAACTGTATTTGGTTTCCTTTTTAATGTCAGGCCTTAGGTGGAAAAAAGGTTAATTTTATAGTCATATATGTAACTATAGAGAAGTTATACTTCTAATTCACTTTTCTTGACCATTATTACATAATTTTAAAATTTTTAAAGCATAATAAATTATTTCTCTTAGAATATTTTCATATTGTTTAATATTATTCTACTACAATCCCTTTTCTATATATGACAGGTCAAGCACAGAATTTAGACTTATTCAATCTATTAATATGTTTGTATTTCAGAAAACCTCGAAACAGCTCCTAACATTCGTAAGAAATTTTTGTTCTGAGTTTTTCCATTGCGTTAGTGAAGGAAATACTCTGAACCCAAATGACCTTACTGTCAATTTATGTAGTTGCTCTTTTTAAGATTCTGGAAGACAACATATATCATCACTGCTATAATTTAAATAGATTGACGTAAACTTAGAACAGTGCCAACTTAATTCTTAACAAGTTTATACATTGGACTTGGTAACTGAGGAAGTTACATGGAATACCCTGACCCCTGTAGGGACAAGTGTGTTTTTACTTCAGTTAATATCAGCTGGAGATGACTTGACCCAGAGCTACCTACCATTGCATATGTAGGCATTGAACAGTGACTTCTTTTGGTTCTAGGAAGTATTTACCTGTCTTCTCTCTAGGGCCCTGAACATAATTCCCAATCCCAGAATCTGGAGCCACAGGAAAGTATCTTTCAGGTATCTCAGATTAGAGCTGAAAATAGAATTTCACCTAAGAAAGAAAGGTTGTTAGGTATTATACTACTCTTTATATACCCTTGGGTCAGATAAGCTTTTGTGGGTTCTTCCGGGGAGCATAACCCTATTTATAAAATTGTTCACATGGGAAAGGGTGTTTTAAGTCAAACCAACTGATTAAAAAGTGAACCTTTGACATACAAAAATTCAGAGATTAGAACCATTTTACATTGCACCAGAGAAAATTAGATAAAAATGTCTCTTTAAAAATCTTGACTTAGCAATAATCATTAAGGCTTCATTGATTGACATTAGGACAGTTATCTGGAAAAAACAATTTTTTTCCAACATTTATTTATTTATTTATCTATCTATCTACCTACCTACCTACCTACCTATCTATTCAGCTAAAGTTCTAATCTCCAACTATGTGCCAAGTAGTAGTGTAAGTGCTAGATAGAGCAGTAAATAAAACAATGTTTCAAACCTCAGGGATTTTACATTCTACTTGGAGAATGTACATAGAGTAAAGTAACAATTCTATAAAGCACTTCCCTGTTTCATATATGAAGTTGTGAGTAGTGAGGGATACAAGTAAAATTTGTGCTGTATTTGTACCCTGCCCCTATGATATAAAGGCTTGATTAATAATGTAAACTGATTAATAATATAACAACAGGCACACAGCAATTAGTATGAGCCACTTCTGTCTTTATAACAACCCTATACAATATGATTATTATTGTCCTTATTTGATAAAGGGTGCAGAGAGATTAGGTCCAAGATCACTTATTGACCTTGGATTAGGACTTAGGCCACAGGAGTTTAACTCCACTACCATCTGTATTCTTAACCATTATACTCTACTGTTTTACTTTAAAATTGACATTGTGACAGATTTTTATGTCTTTTATGAGATTTTCTTGGATACCAGAGATCACTTATCTAAAGTTTTTTTGTTTGTTTTTTTTAAAGATTTTTGGGGAATTGGGGGAGCGGAGCAGCACTGGGGAATTGGGGGAAGGGAACAGACAAGTTGCTGTCATTTTGTTCTTCAGTCTAGTTGTGGAGGACGTTGCTTCACTGGCCCAAGTTGGCACCATCATTGTGCTCTTCCCGGGAGAGGCAGATCAGTCGCCGGCTTCTGGACGGCCGCTCACTGCGGCTGCTGGCCGCTCACGCTGGTTGCTGGCTACATACAGTAGCCCATGGCAACCCGCTGCAGCAGGGGGTGCAGCCTATGCCATGGTCGGCGACTCATGGCAGCCCAGCTCCAGGTCGAGCTGTTGTTCAGCATCTTAGCTGTAGAGGGCAGTGTCACTGGCCCTCATATGTGGGATCCGAACCGGGGCCCTCTGGCGTCCCAAGCCAGCTCTTAACCAATGCACCACTCGGCCGGCCCTCTAAAGTATTGTTTAATCTTTTTCATATTCTAGGTTATTTTTCCATATTCTCTACTTAACAAAGAATAATTGAATAATTATACTATTTCCTCTATTCTGACACTGAGTTAAATAAAATATAAAACAAATTTATCTAGTGTCAGCATTTCTATCAACTCTTATTTATCTTTAGCATTAGGTTTAGTTTTGTGTATCCAGAGTCCAAACTAAATTATTTAGGTTTGCCATCTCCAGTTTTTAAAAAATCAAGAATTTCATAGCAAAATTGATAGGTTACAGTTTATCTCATTTAAAAAAATTATACTAAAATTGCCAATAAATAGTAAAAGAAAGAAAGCAGAATAGAATAAAAGCCCTGAAACCCTAAAAACCAGACAGTTTCTGTAGCCTCAAGAGTTACATGAATTTGTCTAAGGACTTAGTAAATCTGATCTCACTTGTATTATATCTATATAGTATGTATTATTTTTAAATATTAATTTATTGCTCTTTTCTCTCTCTTTTTTTTTTTTTTTTTAGTACACTGTGTGGAATTTTGTTCCAAAAAATTTATTTGAACAATTCAGAAGAGTGGCAAACTTTTATTTTCTTATTATATTTTTGGTTCAGGTAAGCTTTATCACTCAATAAATTATTAAGTTTATAGATAGGATTTCTAAAACTATGTCTTCAGGAAAAGTTACACTGCATTCTAAATAATTTGACTATGGGACTATTATTTTTCTGCAGAGCTTCCCCAGTACATATAATGATTTAAACCATGTCTAGGTTTCTGTAAACTAGCCTATAAATTTTAAGATTAATTGTAGTTTTTTTCATCACTGAAGTGCCATAATACTGATTGATAACCATAATCAAAACCAAGAAAATTACATACTCTTTCAGATGTTTTTCCTCAGAATATAAATATTTTGGTTTTTACTATACAACAGTGTTTTGGACACATTTCTGCCTATAGAACCACCTTGGTACAAAGTAATTTTTTTAATGTAAATTTTACTTTTTTATTTTAAAAAATTTTAATTTTTAAAAATCCCCATGAGTATAGACTTTTTTTTCCAGATCATTTCTTTAACTATATTCATTATAAGCTGTTTAACAGTTTAATTTCACATTGCGCTTTTTTTCTAACATCAAAAATCAAGAGAATAGCTTTAGAATCTTAAGTATAAGTCAAGATTTATGTTCTTTTAAAGAGGTTATTCTTTTCTGATAAACCTTAGCAATCTCTTTTAATGTGGCATTGAATTTTTGTATGAACTCTAAACTTTTCTCTCAGTAGAACCTGGAATTTCAAGTTATTACTTTTAACACTTGAGGAAACATTTACTTTTTAAAAAAATTGTTTTCCTTCATGAACAGAGAAGAAACTTCTGATTTTCTATCAAGAGAACATCAGCTTGGTTTTCTTGGAAAAGTGAGAAATTTATACTAACCATGTCCACGTAACACATGCTTTTGTGAAATTACTAAATAAGATCAGGAATTCAGCTTGTCTGTGGAATAGAACAAATTTAATTTACCTATGTGGCATAAAGGAACATTAATAAATCATTAGATCCATGTTCTCACTAATCAAATATAATTACTGCAAAAATTTCTTCTCTGGCAGTTTATTGAAACCTCAGTTGTATGATTTAGATCATAATTGCCACATCATTTTCCAAGCTATACCCACCCCTCTGGCTCTGCTAGATGTAAAAAAATCACTTGTGGAAGAAAAACCCTTTTCCTAGTTCCACTCCTTGTTCTCTCTCCCTAAGTGATGAGTTTATTCTGAATCCCAGAGTAAAAATTACTGAAAGACTTTTCAGCATTTATCAGGATGGGCAAAGAAATGTGAAATGAGGTTCTGAGCAGTTGTAGCTCCACTCCTAAGCAAATACTGAGGAAGAACTTAAGTACTTTGTGTTAAGAAAGCAGAGTGACTGAGTCCACCCTAGCAATATTTGTGGATAAGCAATAGATTTACATATTCTACTAACCCCATGTAATAGCCAGCAAAGTGAACTTGTGAAACTGTGAACTAAACTATACTCACTGCATAATATGTCTCTCCTGTTACTTTTTTACTGTGGACCATGATACACATTTTATATAGTGTTACCAGAAATCCCAGTACGTCTGAGATTTAAGTTGTTAATAGCATGATGTGTACAATATAAATATATAATACTCTTCATTCTTTTTTTTAAATCTAGCTTATGATCGATACACCTACCAGTCCAATTACCAGTGGACTTCCATTATTCTTTGTGATAACAGTAACTGCCATAAAACAGGTATGAAATACTTTCTATTCTTGTTCCCCCATTGTTCATAAGTTGCTGAGTATGTCCACTCCAAAGTAACCTCTATTGTTGTGAAAATAATTTCCATAAGAAAGCAAGTTTTTTTGATATTGCATATGGTAAAATTAAACTGAGTTAAACCACTCTATTTCAGGTAGCTGGTGACTTGTGGTATGATTACCATTATTAAAATATTGTTCCCTTGACACACCCAAAACAAGTAGTTTATATGTACAAACCAATTTATATATAAAACATTATTATCATCATTTTTGTAGAGTTTGGCAATATTTATAGGAAAGACAATTCAAAAGGGATATGTTTATGGGGAATGGACATGTACCTCTGGCATGAACATTTGGAATACAAATTGTATAGTGCTTTCCTACTTTTTACCAGTTTCTCTGGTGAAGTTGATTTTTTTTTTTTCTTTTTAGCTAAGCCATCCTGCCACCTGTTGGCAGTTCAGCGGCTGCTCAGCTCGGGCCGGGACTCAAACCGCTATTGTTCAGAGCCCAAACTCTTGAGTGAGCTCTTAACCAACTGAGCCACTCAGCCGACCCTGTGAAGTTGATTTTTATGTAAAGTAGTACCCTAGGGGAAATAGCTTCAATCAAATTCCGAATTGTTATTAAAATCTAAGTATAGAAAAACAGTATTACTGGATAAACATATCAAATAAGAAATAAAGAAATTCATAGACATGTCATGTGTTTATAGCTACCATTTCTCAGAAAATCTTGGCAGGAGCTCAGTTATAACAGAGATGGTCCCTTCCACCTGAAAGAGAGCTAATTGAATTCCCTTGTGTAAATATAATAAATTTTCATTTTATATGATTAGGGATAAGGTTTAAATTGCCATGGAAATAAAACTGACAAACATTTTATAATCCCGGGATGTAGTATGTTCTTTATTACTTAAATAAGAAGGATAAGAGCAGTCCATAGATTAACAATTACATTATGGATCTAGTGTCAGAATACCATGCTACTGTTCTTACAAAGTTTGATTTCCCTTTCTTCACTGTTCTATTGGAGACTATGTAAGTCAGTAGCATCCAAATCACTTCATACAATTACATACTTACTTGGTTTTACAGATGTCATTTAATTCATCAGAGTTAACACATATTTGACCCTTGGACCTGTTTTCTATATGTAGTTTCCTCCTAGGTGATTTCATCCACGTGTAAAGTACCATTGATATGTTAATGGTTCTCAAATATATATGTATCCTGAAACTATTTTCTGAACTCCTGACATACACATATAAATGTTATGCAACATTTCCTCTTGGATACTTAGGCTTTTGCTGATCACCATGTCACCCTGTCATTGCTACTCTTTTTTCTTCATGTCATTTGTCACTACATGTTGTTCTGTTGAATAAATGTTTATTAGTTTGTTGTCTTCATTTGAATATTTAGCTCTATGAAGGCAGAGGCTTTGTTTTATAAACCAGTTTATTCCCAGTGACCACAAGGTCGTGCACAATAAGGCACTTATTGGACCTTCAGTAAATAATTTGCTTGACAGATAAATAAATGAATTAATGAATCTATTGAATATTTTTTAAAGCAGTGTAAAATGTTGCAATACATCTTGCCCTCATTTCCCAATATGCATTTGGCCAAATATAAACTGGGTTTAATTGGAATGTGATGCCATTAGCCGAGTTGAAAAGTTGCTGGTGAATCTAATACAGCGGTTCTCAACTTGTGGGTCGCAACCCCTTTGGGGGTTGAAGGACCCTTTCACAGGGGTCGCCTAAGACCATCGGAAAACAAAAAGATATTTATATTACAATTCATAACAGTGGCAAAATTACAGTTATAGTGTAGCAACGAAAATAATTTTATGGTTGGGGGTCACCACAAAATGAGGAACTGTATTAAGGGGTCGCAGCAGCATTAGGAAGGTTGAGAACTGCTGATTTAATATCTGCAAAATGGGAGAGTTTACATAATAATAATAGCAATAGTAATAATTGACATTTTGTCTCCTAAATGGGTTAAGTAAAAACACAAAATCTAAAAGTAGGAATCAGGATGATTATACCTCAAACCTGTGTAGTGTGGTTATTGCACGTAAGTATAAATTTACATGAGAGCTTGACAACTTAAGCAAAAGGAGAAATATGAAAGATCATATAATTTTCAAAGAGAAAATTTGGTATATAAGGATTTTCTCCCATTACAACTTAGAGACTCAGAATTTTCTGTAACAAGTGTTCCTAAATTGTGCTCATTTAATAAAACACAACATACTAGAATATACTGTTCAGGTTTTTAGGTCCATTACTATAGATCATTAGAATAAATTTTGGAAAAACTGAAAATAGAAGTAGCCATGTTCCAATCTTTCATTCTTCTCTTCACCTAGTTTAGTCTGCCTTTGTCCTTTTGCACTTTTATCAAAATAGGAAAAGCTATATTATCAATTATTTATACTTTAATTGAGTAAAGTTGTTAGTTTTTTTGTTTTTTTAGCTTCTCCCAACTATATTTGCATACGAAGTTTTCTCTCTAGTTGTATAAATCAAGATATGGTACTCTGGTAAACAGAGTCTTTGCCCTCTATGAGCTTAAAACCTATGAAGTAGGGAAGGTAAGACCAAACACAAAAATAATTATAGTTTAATAGGTGGTAGTAAGAGCCAGTAGTCTTTAGGTGTTCAGAGAAAAGGTGGAACGCTTTGTCTGGATAATCAAGGAAAGTTTCGTGGAAGAAACATTATTAGAGATGAGACTTGGAATATAGGTAAAATGACAATTGGTGATGAAGGTGAAGTAGCAACAAACAACTTCAGCAATGACCCAAATGGAAGAAAAGGCAAGACCTATTTTGGGGAATGATATATCTGACTAATGTTTGACCCTGTACAGGAAAGTACTGAAAGGTAATATTGGAAATATAGGTTGGTAAATTAAGCAAGCTGGAAGATTCTTTGTTATAAGCATTGAGAATTTATTAAGGGGATTTTGAACGTCATAGTGAATTAAAACAATGTTTTGGAAAGATTGATTTGGCAGTAATATGTAGAATGAATTAGAATTTGTGAACTTGTATTTAAAAAGATAATGTTTTTCTTATTATTGTTCTGCTGTTATTGTCACCTGACTATAAAAGGAAATATGTTTTTTGACAGTTTCAGAAAAGATTTTTTTAACTCTCAATTAAATTTCTCTAAAATTGATACACCACGTCTTAAATGGAGCCAATATAATTTAAGTATCTTAAGAATGCTTTCTCCAAAGGTTTCTCCTGAAAAAAATAGACCTTCAAAACAATCTTTAATGTTTGCTTTATATTTTATAGTGTTATAATATTTCTAGGTAATAGAGCACATATTTTAAAAAGTGAAAACTGTACAAAATAGCATATAATAAAAGCCTTTTATACTCCCATCCCCCAGTCCTAGTTCTCCTCCCTGAGGGAGCTGTTATTTGAACATTAGTCTATCTCTCTATACAGAGCGTTTGCATAGGCAAGCATGTTTTTTCACAAATGAACACAACACATTCTGTACCTTACTTTTATTACTTAATGCTGTCAGGTATCATTTTGTTCTCTGTACTTGTGCTGTACCTCTGAGTACTTGAATTTTCTCTAAAATAGCACAAGAAGTCTTTTTCACTTAAAATTTGCCACTTCTTAACATTTAATCAAAATATGCTTTGTGAAATGTTTATGTCTCCCTTTTTAATAATGATCGATATAGCCTACCATATTGTTTTGCTGTACAAATTATAATGAATTCTGTTGGTCTATTGTTTAAGAAAGTGAAAGAACGCATCCTCAGCTTTAAAATTTGTTCATTTTTTCTACTTATTATCTGCAGTGCCCTGTGAATTTATATTTTATGTTTAAAATATCGTTTGTATATAGAAACAGTGGAACTTATTGACTGAATACATGTTAGGAAAAAGGTAGGAATCAAAAATGACTCCCCAGATTTCTAGTATGAGCAACTCAGCAGATGGTGATGTCATTTGTCAAGATGGGAGACATTGGAAATGCAACAGATTTGGGGGATCATCTATTTAGTTTTGAAATGTTTAATATATTCATGAGACATCAAAATGAAGATGTTAAGAATGCACTTGGATATTCAAGTTTAGAGTCCAAAAGAAAGATATGAAATTTCTAGAGATAGAAATTTCAGAATTTTTTGAAGACATAGGGATAGAAGAAATCTTGTAGTGAGAAAGCGAAGGGTGAAAAAAGGGCCCATAAAGGTGACATAGAAGGAGCTCCATAAGGAAAGTGAGAAGTAACTCAGAGGTATTATAAAAACAGGGAACATGTATGTAATGAAAACCAAAAGAGAACATTTCTAGTACAAATGAATGTCATGTACCTATGAGTATATGCATCAAAATAGCCTACTATAATTCTGGTGAACGAAATGTGTTGGGGAAGTTTTCATGTTTCTTTTTTTCATTTAATAAAAGTATCTTCTAATTATACTAAAAAGGGTACTTTTTTATTCTTTTGATATTTACAGGGTTATGAAGATTGGTTACGACATAATTCAGATAATGAAGTAAATGGAGCTCCTGTGTATGTTGTTCGAAGTGGTGGCCTTGTTAAAACTAGATCAAAAAACATTCGGGTATGCATTTAGTAAATCATGGAAATCAACTGTATTTTGGTACCACAAATTCCAATCTGATTATATTTTTGTTAAAAGCCTGCTTTCCTGTATTAAAATATTATGATAGACCACTTGTTTAGAACCCAATAAAATAAGTCCTTGCCTTTTAAAATTAGTATATTCACTTTCCCCCAAAATTCTTCATAGGTGGGTGATATTGTTCGAATAGCCAAAGATGAAATTTTCCCTGCAGATTTGGTGCTTTTGTCCTCAGATCGACCTGATGGTTCTTGTCACATTACAACTGCTAGTTTGGATGGAGAAACTAACCTGAAGGTTTGTATCTGTATATGTTTGAGTGTTTGTCTTGGTGAACAAAATGTCTTTGGACTGTAGAGATACTTCCTTTGATTAAGGTAATCGAGTTTCACCTGATAAAGGAGATATTTTTTTTAATTACTGAAACTTTTAAAAATTGAGTTTAAAAAAAAAAATAATGTTATTTACCTATTTCAAAGGTTAGCCTCATGTGGTTTAGTCAAGTTAATGAAAAATGGAAAGTGTCTTTAGGAAAAATAGATATTTTAATATTTTGATGCTTCTTTTTTTAGGTAATAGAGATTTTGAAATAGATGGTGTATAAGGTCCCATTTGGATCTTGAAACTGCAATTTAATTTTTTTTTTTTTTTTTTTAGACACATGTGGCAGTTCCAGAAACAGCAGTATTACAAACAGTTGCCAATTTGGACACTCTTATAGCTGTGATAGAATGTCAGCAACCAGAAGCAGATTTATACAGGTATGGTGTGATAGTCAACATACTCATTTTAAGTCCTGTTTACATTACAGATCTCATTTTCACAATATAAACATACAATGAAATCTTTAGCTGATTGAAGACATTATTGGGAGGGGGTGGGAATTGGGGAGATGAATTTAAGGGGAAAAAAGGCTAAAAGCAGAACTTTCCAGAATTCTAATCCAAAGTATTAATTCAAAAGTAGTGCTTTTATTCAAATGTTCCTTCCCATTACCTTCTACTTTGATGTGGACTGGCTTTATAACTATAGTAGTAGTTATAGGAGAAGTAAAGTTCTTTCCTTAGAAGAAAATAATCATGTGTGTGTGTGTGTGTGTGTGTGTGTGTGTGTGTGCGTGTGTACACATGTGTGTACATAGTTCATGATGGCCAAAGCTATGTCTTTGTGTTCACTTTTAACGTTACAATTTACCAAATATAATGGAAATCATCTTTCAGTGATATGCTCATTGTTGTGGGCAATGGTAGAAACAAATTTTTATTATTAAAGACTTAAGTGAGATACTAAATTTAAATTCATTTTGACTCAATGCTGAAAGAGTAAATTACAACTACATTGTAAAAAATCACTCTTAGCTTCTTGTCATATCATATATCTCCTTCTATTGGTTGAAATGTTTCAAATCTTATCATTAGTCATTAGCTTTTCCATATCTCTTACATATATTTGTTCTGGATCCATATAATATTTATAATGGCATTTTTCTCTATGTGATGTTATAAAAATTTACATTTTCATCAGTCAAATGATGTATAGTTTTCCAATTAACTGTAAAAATTTGAGTCCTATGCTTTAAGAGCATTTAAACTATAAGATTTAACTGCAAAGAATTTAGTACTTGAAGATTTCTATATTGCTATTATTTCCTTGTCTTAGACAATGGTGAGTTATAAAAAAATTACTAAAAACTAGAAAATGATGGAACATTAAGCAGGCATAAAATTAATATGAGATTAAATATGATGAATGCATTGGTAGCTGGTTTTTATATTATTTTGGAAAATAGGGAAAAAGTTAAATCTTTTTCTGATAGGAAATAATTCAGTTAAATATAAGGTGTTCCTCCTTATTTTCTCTTTTCCTCTTCCTTCCCGAAAGTCTATGTTTTATTTTAAATATAAGTGTAACTACTGCAGAAGACTTGTAATGGAAACATAACACATAATTATACCACTATTTAAATTTATTGCTGTTTTTATTTATTCACTCATTCAACAAGCTATTATTGAGCACCTATGTGCTCATTATGATTAGTGAGAAATAAGATGAATTGGCATAGTTTCTGTCTTTGAGGAATTCATAGCTATAAAGATATTATTTATATAAAGTTGTATTTTTTCGCTTTACTATATGCTATATATAAGGGAAATATTGAAAGCATTTTATTTATTTTTTTTTAAAGAAATTTTATTGGGGAACAGTGTGTTTTTCCAGGACCCGTCAGCTCCAAGTCAAGTACTTGTTTCAGTCTACTTGTGGAGGGCACAGCTCCATGGTCCATGTGGGAATCGAACCGGCAGCCTTGGTGTTATGAGCCTGTGCTCTAACCACCTGAGCTGACCGGCTGCCCCTTGAAAGCGTTTTAAATGTCCACCTAGGAGAATGCTTAAATGGGCATATGGTATAGATATAAAAGAGAAATATGTCTCTTATAAGATATAAGAGAGAAAAGATTATAAAAATGATGTTTTCAAAGAATTTAATGACATAGGGACATACTGAAATATAATGTTAAATAAGAAATGGAGGTATAGCTCTCATATGACCCCAATTATATTAAAAAATGTGTATGTCTATGTATTTGGTAGTTAAGTAGCAGGATAGAAAAATAGATAGGTATAGAGAGAAAGAAAAGCCTGGAATTACATGTTAAAATGTTAGTTGTTCTTGGTGGTAGGATTTCAGCTGCTTTTTACTTACCTTTCGTGTTCTATAAATTTTGTAATATTTCCTAAAAGAATATGGATTACTTTTGTGATTACAGAAAGGATTTTCCATGTTACTGTATTCTTTTTGTTGTTGTTGTTGTTGTGAAAGAGCAGTTTATTGGAAGTGAAAGTACACTCCAAAGAAATAGGAGAGGGCATGTTACTGTATTCTTAATGATCATTTTTAATGGCTGTGAAATAGTCTAAGTGAACCTAACTATTTCCTAATATTTCAAACCTAACTCTTTCATTGTTTTGCTATTATAAATATTGCGTGGCACCTTATTACAAACAGCTTCACCAAATCAAAATCCAGTGGTGGGATAGTTCATTATTTCTCTTCTTTAAACAGCGAGTTCACTTGGCTTCCAGGACATGCCCCTCTCTTGGTTTTCCTCCTTTCACTAGTCCCTCCTTCTCAGTCCCTTTTGCTGGTTTCTCTCCTCCCTGACTTCTTGATGTTAGAGCGACCCAGTACTGTCCTCGGTCCTCTTCTCTGCCCCTCTACAATTTGCTTTCTACACTCCTTTGGTGATCTCATCCAGGCAGATGGCTTTAATGACCATCTAACTTCTAACTCCCTGATTTCTATCTCCGTCTCAGACTGCTTTTCCAAACTCCAGACTTTCATAGCCAGCTTCCTGTCCTATGGCTCCACTTGGACCATCTCTCAAATTGATATCTCAAATTAATTTAGGAAATATCTCAAATTAATCATCTTGAAAACTGAATTCCTGATCTTCCCTCTGAAATTTTTTATGCCAACAGCCTTTATCATCTCAGTTGATGACAGTCCATCCTCCCAATTGTTCAGGCCAAAAACCATAGAGTCAGTCATGACTCACCACATATCCTCTCTGCTAACCTCTCCTCACCTTTCCTTCCACATCTCATCCCAATCCATTAGAACATCTTAATTGGTTTACCTTAAAAATACATCCAAAATTTGACCATCTTTCACCAATTTCACTGCTACTATTTGGGTCCAAACCAGCATCATCTCCTACCGCTATCAAAGGCATCCTCACCAGTTTTTCTGTTTTTAGTCTTTCCCTTGTAGTCTGTTCTCACAAAAACAGCCAGAGTGATCCTTTTAAAACCTAAGTCAGATCATGTCGTTCCTCTGCTGAGACCATGCAATGGCTTTTCCCATCTCACTCTGAGTCAAAATCCTTATCTTTAGAAGGCTCTATAAGACCTTACTGATTGTCCCTATCCCCAACCTTTCTTTCCTCTCTGACCTAATTTCTGACCCATCTCCCTCTTGCTCACCCTCCAACTCCACTGGCCTCCGTATTTTCCCTTGAACATGCCATAGTCACTCTCAACCTTGCCACTAGGTGTTCCTTGTCTTAACTCCTTTATCACTTTCTAGCCTATGCTTAAATCTCCTCCTCAGTGAAGCCTACTTTGACTAATACTGCAACCTAATCCTTACCCTGTTCTGCTTTTCTTTTTTTTATAATGCGTAATACCTTCTAGTATACTGTGTAATTTACTTATTTATTATGTTGATGGCTTATTATCTCTTCGACTACAGTGTAAACTCAGGGGCAGGCATCTTTGTGTGTTTCGTGCACTGACGTATCCCAAGCACCTAGGACAGATCTGGGAAGTAGGAGGCCTTACTACTTATTTGTTGATAGTTGAAAGAATAAATATCTTTATGTAATTAATTTTGTGCACTTAAATTTTCCCTTTTATTGAATTGTCTACAATGCATGCAAGCAAGATTTGTGTGTAGTTCGCTTTACTATTGAATTGAAGTACTTAAACAGTACCAGGCACATAGCAAACACTCTATAAATATCTGTTGAATGAATGGATGAATGATAGAGTTCCAAATTATTCCTAGATCAAAGGATGTGTGAATGTTTTTATTACCCATTTGTTCATCAGCTATTGAGTGCCTCCAATAATTGAGGCATAGTGCTAGACGCTGAGAATACTGTGCTCGTTTCAGCAGCATATATGAGTACAGTAGAATATAACAGTAAAGAAACAGTGATAGCTATTGCCTCCTAGAGTTTATAGTCTAGCACTAGATTATTAAGAACAGACAGAGCTGCAAAAAAGGAATTATTGGATTAAAGCCCTAATAGAGTTTGGCCTTTAGTAAACATACTGACACTTACTTTATAAAAGCATTGGACTAATTTTTATTGCCATGAGCAAAGTATAAGTTTATGAAGTTTTCTTTCTTTCAGAATTTTACTAGTATTAAATATTATAGTTTTAAATTTTTTGCTAATTTTGTACATAATAGTATCATAATTTTAAAACTTTAGTTTTAATTTATTTTTAATTAGAAAGGATAAACATTTTTCTGTTTATTAATTCTTCCCCCCTTGAACATTGTTGATTCCTTCCCAATTACCTATTTATTAAATGGGATTACATTATTCCTTTTTAAAGAACTTTAATAGTTTATTGAGAGAGGCTAGAATATGGTAAGAAATGAACTCTGCCAGACCACTGGGAGAAATAAAAGCTGGGAGAGCCTTTTGTTCAGGAGCAGCCTCTAGCAGGTCTCCATTTTCCTTTTCCTGGCTCCTTTAATCTTTTAGTTCTTTATTTTTTCCACCTCTTAATTTTTTAAACTGACTTAGCACTTCCACTTCTAGGAATTTTTCCTAACGAAATAATGAAACTACTCCTAGGAATTTATCTTACTGAAAATGTGAAAAGATATGTACAAAAGTTGTTTAGGGCTGCATTGTTTAGACTCTAACAAAATTGTTGAAAAAAACAAAATTCCATCAGTAGTGTATTATTTATATAAATTATAAGTAACCCAAAAATGTAGTATTATGTGCAGCCATTAAAAATAATGATATAGATCTATGTTTATGGCAGGACATGCTAAGTGGGGGGCAAATGTTACCAACATTATATATGGTATGATCCCATTTTTGTTTTTAAGATACATATTTATTTATATGTGAATGGAATAAAAGCCTGGGAAACATATCTCAAAATATTAACAGTATTTGTATTTGAGTAGTAGGATTACCAGTGATGGTTATTTTCCTTTTGTTATCCTTTTTATATTGTCTGAATCATTTTGTAAAATGTGTGTGCTTGAGCGTATATAGACTTTATAATCAGAAAAGAGAATAAAGGAATTTTCACTTTGAAACAAATCGAACTATGGGTTTGGAGAAAGGGCTAAGGAAAGGGCCAGATGAGTTAACTCTGCACGGAACTGGCTTGAACTGATGAGAAGCACCTTAGAATCAAGGATAACAGGGCAGATAAAATGAAGGACACATGCAGGTCTCTTGTTGGAATTTAGCTCAGGAAAATCAAAAGAGTGATCATACATTATCTCTGAAAGATGCCTAAGTGGACACCAGCTGAATTGGTTCTTTGACTCTAAGTCCAAAGTTGAGGCTGAAACCAAAGCTACATAAAATTCCATTAAGTGCAGATAATAAAAATAACACTGCTTCTCCTTGATACAGGGAGTTGAAGGAAGCAGAAGTAAGAGATTAGCAAGAAACAATGAAGCCAAAAGGGATAAAGCACCTGTGACCTGGAAACGGGAAGAATAATAGGGACATTTGGAAGGGAATGCTTAATATTTCTTTGCCAATTAAATGATTAACATGAAGTTCTGTCTGGAATTCAGCTCAGAATTTACTTCTCAATATAGTAGAAAGTAATCGTATACTTGAATTGACTCTATGCTGTGGAGCTGTTTTGGTAGTGAAAAGCCAGGCTATGAAAATTCGTTGGTAACAGGCCACTTACTCTAGATTTCAGGCAACCAAAAGTTAAAGAAGCCCTGGAGATCACTGATAGGTTTTTGCTTACTATTCTATTCCCACCACTTAACTCACACGTAGTAATTGCTCAATGAATATTTGTTGGTTGAATGATTGCATGAATAAGTAAGTGAATGATTCTGGTCACAGGAAGCTTTATTTAGTAAATTGCGATGAAATATGTGAGCATTCACTGTTGGCTAATTACTGTATGCATCTAGCAATATAAATTTTCATGATGATGAAACATAATATTAATATACCATTTTCAAAACATGTTTTCATTCATTAACTCATTCTTTACTGGAGTAGAGATGGCAAGAATTTAAAAATTTTTAAAGCTTAATGAGTGATAACCATTTACTTTAATAATTTCTAACATGAATATTAGACTACTCATATATACAAAAGATTGGTTTGTTTCATATATAAAAATAGTGCCAAAAGTATCTAAAATTTTTCACCCATTGATGTCATAAGTAATGTATCATTGGTTTATTTTGTAACATGGTGAATTCTTTGATAGATTCATGGGACGAATGATAATAACTCAACAGATGGAAGAAATTGTAAGGTAAGAATAAAGCTAACGGTATATTACATAAGTCAGTAGCATCAGAGAAAAGGATTCACTTAAAAGCATTTAGCACTCCATCTTGTAATTTGTAGTAACAGCAGGTGAGGATGAAACAGATTCCATGAAATGATACCAAAATAATTTAGAAAGATTATTTGTGTACTTATATTTCTTTTTCTAATATTAGGTAGTAACATAAAAGGAAACATGGCTATTTTTATTCAAATCCTTACCCACCACACTTAAAGTCTAGAATACAAAAAATGTCTTGTATAATGTTTAACAAGTATAAATGTTACAGTCTTCTTCATTTCAAAATAATTCAGCACAAACTAGAGTATTTACTGGCCAATCCAAAACCTCTTATTTACTCTTCTGATTGTTTTTTTTTTGTTTGGTTGGTTGTTTTGATATGTTCACCTTCAATATTAGGTTAATTTCTGGCACCTATATGAAAGGCTTTGGGTCATTTCAAAGATTTGCTGATAGGATGAGATTACATTGTTATTCATGACCACAAAGCCAAATTTAGAATAAATCTTGGAATCATCCCTTGAACTTCTATTCAAATTAGCATTTCACTCTTTTCTGGAGATACATGTTGAGTTAAATTGGCTGCTTGAATTAAGTCACTGATAAAGCGTTGAGCATTTTTTAAATGACATCCTCAAGACAAGTCACCCAAAATAGTATGCATCAACACTGATTCACATTTTTAAGAAACGTTAACATAGGAGCACGTTCAATAAACTCTGTAGCAGGGTCTTTTTAAGTGTAGGATCCCTACTTGAATAACTATGACTAGGGTTTATTTTGATTTCTGTAGTGACATAGTGGGGTACATGTGCGGATACATAGTCTGAATTGTATTACGACATTGTGGCTGATAAAGGAAAAGATTAGTTATGTTACCTCAGCCCCTAGATTGGTTAAAAAAGGAGCCATGTTCTTTGCTGAAGCAACCAGTGTTTGCTGATGCATTCATTGCCTTTTAATTGAAGCTTTTGATCATTATATTACAATTATATATGCCATTATGAGCTCAGAGTTTTCCTATTCATTGCTGGAACCAACACCAAGTGAAAAAGAGCTATTTTATGGCTCCTGATTAATTGATTTTGGAATATCCATGGAATGTGCTCCAAATATGACTAGTTAATAAAATCATATTTATTAACCATGTCTCAAACACCTGATCTTCCTTGGTTCATTGGATTTTTTAGAGTGTTTGGGTTTTGCAGACATCTTCAGAATTTGTATAGATTCTGTTTGATTTGGATGACTGTTTATGTATGTTTCAGGAAAGCATAAGGGATACCAACAAAATTAAGGTGTTTTTACTGTTCCATAATAGAGTCTTATTGTTTTGCTATCACTAAGAAAATAAAATTTCCTTTCTAGTTATTATCATTTTATATCTCCTTCATGGAGAGAAATTCAAACAGCAAGAAGACCCATACACCAGGATGTGTGCAATGCAAGTAGTCAAGTTATAGTGTCAGTCTTGCCTAGAACAGTACTAACTCACTTACTATGTTATGTCTTAATAATCCACCTAATTTTAATTGTGCAGAACTCATGCATCTATACGCAAATCATGCTACAGCTTATGCTTACTTTGCATTTTAATTCTTCAAAAACTGTGTATTAATTTTGCTCAAAATTTTAAAATTTCACCTCCTCTTAAAAATTTTCAAGTCATTGCTTAATCTTTTATTTTGTTGTGTTTTATGTTTAAAATTTTTGAATCTGGTGGCTTTGTGAGCTTATTTACCAGCAAAATTTTATTTCTGAGCCACTGACCTTAAAGGGACTGAAATGCTAAAGCCTATATTTTTATTATGGTAACTAATATCATGATTGGCCTAGACAGCTTTATAGTAGCTGAGATTTCGGTTTTATATGAAAGCAGTGTTGTAACTGTTATCTCACATACCTTCTGCTGATGATGTCATTTTAGAATTTAATTGAATTTTTAATATATTCACTGCTTTTGGTTTTGTTTTGTTTTTTTCCTAGACCTCTGGGGCCAGAGAGTCTCTTGCTTCGTGGAGCCAGATTAAAAAACACAAAAGAAATTTTTGGTTTGTATATGTTGAAAATTTTTCATTATAGATTCACATCGATGCTTTATATGAAGTATTTTTAGAAGCAGCATTTGTGGTCTTTTGGTTGGATAATTGATTACTTAGTTAATTATTATCTACAATCATTTTCTTACAAAGATTGTGTTAATATAATTTTGTTTTGTATTTTTTATTGTTAATCTCTATTTTTGAGTAATAGACTAGAACCTCGCTCTTGTATTTTCTTTGTGTATACTTGTGAAACTGAGTGCTAAGAAGGTAGCACTCCTGGCACTTCTCTTCGTGATGGATGAGAACCAATATAATATGGCATCATGGTGCAGTAAACCACCTATATAATTCCATTATGATTATTCTTAGATTGGATGAATGAAACTGCTGATTCATTCACTCAACAAATTCTTATTGACCTATGACTATATACCAGGTACTGTTGGAATATATACTGACTGCATTAAAAGGATGAATAAATAATGTTCTTGCTTTGGAGATCTATTAATTAATTAACTAACTAACAATTAATCAATTCACTGTGCTCTGAGTTAGTTCTAGGCAAATTGTGAAGTCTAGAATAACCTTAGATGTCATGTAGTTCTTCCATTTCAGGGATGGCCCTTCATATACTGACCAGCTTGTCATTCATTGCACGTTTACAGCTTTTGAGGTTCTCTTCCTCTTCTCTTTCCTATATCTTGTCTCTCATTTAGGCTCTCTGATAAAAAAATAAAAAATATAAAAGTCCATAAACTTTTAAAAAATGGAAAAGAATGAAGTTGTGGAGAAATTGGAAGCCTCATGCACTGCTTGTGGGAGTGTAACTGTTGCAGCTGCTATAGGAAACAGTCTGGCAGTTCCTCAATAAGTTAAACATAGAATTACTCTGCAACCCAATAATTCTAGATATATACCCCAAAGAACTGAAAATAGGTGTTCAAACAAAGACTTTACAAGAATGTTCATAGCAGCACTGTTTATAGTAGTCAAAGGAGAGAAACTGCCCAAATGTTCATCAGCTAATGAATGTATAAACAAAATGTAGGATATCCATAATTGATAGTTATTGACTCATAAAAAATGAATAACGGATGCATGCTACAACGTGGATAAACCTTGAAAACGTGCTGAGTAAAAGAAGCCAAACACAAAAGGCCACATATTGTCTGATCCCATTTGCTTGAAGTACCCAGAATAGGGAAATTCACAGAGACAGGGTAGATTAGTGTGCTGGGGAGTGGAGGAGAATGGGGAATGATGCTTAATGGGTACAGAACGATGAAAATATTCTCAGGTTAGTTTGTGAGGATGGCTGCACAACATTGTGATTACGCTAAGTGCCACTGAATTCTACATTTTTAAACGATTAAAATGGTAAACTGTATGTTGTGTCTATTTTACCACAGTTTGAAAAAAGAAAACTATAATAATGTTCTTTTGGCAAAAGCCAGAGAAAACCTCCAAAGCTTTTAGATCCTCTCATGTACCGCTGTATTTTAATACATCTCCCTAGCAGTAACACCTTTCACGTTTTTAAAAGAAAGTGTACTTGAATGCCTTTATAGGGATCTGCTGTTGTTTGCCTCAGTACCAACTCTCTTTGTTGTATCATTCTAGGCTGATTTTTCTCATTTCTATAATTTTGGTGCTCTTTGTCATTTGAGTTATAATTCCTTCCTTTACAGAATAATTTTAGTGGTAAAAATTCTAGGGCAAATCTTTAGGAAGAGGGCATGATGAATCCTATACTACTTCTCGAATCTTACTATTTAGGAATGGGTATAAACATTCATTGATTATTTGTTTCTAGGAATTTTGTTAATTTGCCATATAAACCTCACAACCATTCTATGAGGTACATTTTTTTTTTCCATTTAAAGATGGGGAAATTGAGACTCAGAGAGATGAAATAACTTGCCCAAGGACCCAGAACTAATAAGTGGCAGAGCTAGAATTAAAACCAAGGTCTAATTCCAAAGTGTTTTTACAAGGCTGGTCTTACCTAATTTCATTCACTCCTTTTCATTCAGTGTCATTGTTGCTCTTCTCAGAGTCATTCACACAGGCACAAATTTTAAAAATAACGCTTTCCTTGTGTTTATTTATGCTGACACATTTCCATATTATCTTTCCAGTGCTTATGAAATTATGTCTAGACTCCAGATTCTAGCATTGAGGGCCTTTCAAACTCTGATCCTAATCTATTATTCCAACCTAACAGGAAGTGCATTTCCATTTCTGTCTTTGTTAACACTGTTTGCTCTAACTATACTGGCCTTCCCGGCCATTTTTATCTTTCAAAATCCTTTCCCTCCATCAATTCCAACTCAGATAGTACCTCTTTCATTCAGGCATCTGAGTTATAACTCAGGAACAGAACTGCCATGCCTTACCCATCCAGCAGGTCAGGTGACTAGAGTTCCCCAAAATTGGACTTGGAAAGCCTTTGACAAATTCCAAACAAAATTAAAGGGAAGCCAAATTGCAATACCTGTCAGACAGTACATTTTCTTAGATGCTTTCATGCTAGTGCGTACATTTATCTTGTGAAACATGCTAGGGGGTTATTTTTAAAGACTGTTTTGTTTCACAGGTGTTGCTGTGTACACCGGAATGGAAACAAAGATGGCATTAAATTACAAAAGCAAGTCACAGAAACGATCTGCAGTAGAAAAGTAAGAAAAATGTCCATTTTCATTTGTTTGCACATAAATATGACCATGGATATGTGTATTATCCATATATAAATTATATGTATAAAAATATATTTAATACATAAAAATATACTTAAAACATATATCAAGCCAACACAAGATGGTATCCTTAAGGATAGGGATTTTTGTATACATGTAGCATTTTGCATAATGTTTGGCATATAGTAGATGCTAAGTTATTACTTTAAATAACTATTGGGTAATAGTGGAATCAGTTGATCAGACTAATCCTGCACATAACAACTATAAACTCTAGATAAAATATTTTTTAAAATAACTATTTGAAAGCACTGAAGAGTGACCAAACAAAGATGGAAAAGGGCAAAGAGTCTACTCTCGAAATATGGCATCAGCAAGGACAAAGATTTAAGAGTGTAGCTTTTTGCCTGAGGGCACTCCAAATTCATATACTACATGGGGTATCAGAGAGCCTGAGGTTTTACAGGATTTAGGTGTCAGAGGACAAGGGAAGAGCAGCTAGAAAGAAAATCATGTAAGGGAAGGAGCCACAGAAGGAAATGAACCCTAAAACCTGCACATAAATTACATCCAAATCATTGACTGTCTTGAGAACTGTACATGTGCAGGAGAGACCCCAGTGGGTTTAGCAGTAAAACTGTATATCAGGAAGCTAAAAGAACTGAACAGATTTTGCTGTTGCCTGTTGCAGTACAGACATTGTTTGGTGTTTGAGCCTAACCAAGTTAACTTCTGGTGAAATGAAAATTTATACTCTCCAGTGGAACATAAAAGAATACAGAGTCTCTACAACTTACTATTTATAAAATCCACTATGTAATCAAAAATGAAACAAATGTAACTTATATTCAAGAGAAAAAGCACTCAATAATAACTGTCTCCATAATGATCTAGATCTTGTAATTAGCAGGCAAAAACTTTAAAGCAGATATTATAAATGTCATCAAGGGCCTAAAGGAAGATGCGAATAAGTATATGAGAAATCTCAGCAGAGAAATGGAAGCTATAAAAAAGAACTCAGTGGACTCGGGGCTGGCTGAGTGGCTCAGTTGGTTAAGAGCTCGCTCAAGAGTTTGAGCTCTGAGCAACAGCGGTTCGATGCTCGGCCCGAGCTGAGCTGCCGCTGAGCTGCCAAAAGTTGGCAGGATGGCTCAGCTAAAAAAAAAAAAAAAAGAACTCAGTGGAAATTCTTAAGTTGGAAAATAAGATTACTGAAAAGTAAATGTTATTGGATGGGCTCAACACCAGATTGAGGAAAGCAGAAGAAATTGTCAGTGAACTTGAAAGAGCTATAGAAATTATTCAATCTGAAGAACCGAGAGAAAAAAGATTGAAGAAAAATGAACAGTTTCAGAGCCATGTGGGATAATATTAAGCTATCTAGCATAAGTCTAATTGAATCTCACAAAAAAGAAAAAAGGGGGTCCGGTCAAGTGGCACATTGGTTAGCAGTTGGCTTGGGACCCCACCTCTGAGCAGCAGGGCCCTGGTTCAGAGCCCGCATGAGGGCCAGTGATGCCCCCTCTACAGCTAAGATGGTGAACAACAACTCGACCTGGAGCTGGGCTGCCATGAGTCACTGGCGATGGCATAGGCTGCAGTGGGGCTGGCCAGCAGCTGCCGTGAGCCGCTGTGAGCGGCCGTCCAATGGCCGGTGAATGACTGCCTCACCCGGGAAGAGCACAATGATAATACCAACATGGGCCCGTGAAGCAACACCCTCCACAACTAGACTGAAGAACAAAAGGACAGCAACTTCTATGTTCCCTTTCCCCAATTCCCCAGCACTGTTCCCTTCCCCTAATTCTTCAATAAAACCTTTAAAAAAGAAAAAAGGGGCAGAATAAAAATGTTTGAAAAAAAACAATTACTGAAAATTTCTAAATTTTGAGAAAAAACAGAATGGTAATTTAAATCCAACATTATCAAAATTTGTGAACTCAAGGGAAAGCGTTCAAAGGAAATTTTTAACTGTAAATGTTTATATAAGAAAAGAAAAACATAAAATCAGAGTCATCTAAGTTTCTACCTTAAAAACTAGAAAAAGAGGCGCAATTAGAACCAATTTAATAAGAAGAAATATCAAAGATATGAGCTGAAACCAATAGACTAGAAAACGAATAATAGACAAAATTAACAAAGCCAAAAGTTGGTTCTTTGAAAATATTAATAAAATTGATAAATCTCTACCTAGCTTGAGGTATCAAGGGAGAAAAACAGAAGTGGTAGGAGAGAAATACTAAAACATTACCAATATTAGGGATGAAAGCGAGGCTATTACTATAGATCTTACATACTGCGGTCACTTTATCTACAGATAAATATTATGAAAAACTTTGTAACTAAATTTTCCAACTTAGATGAAATGGACAAATTCTTTGAAAACACATCTTACAGAAATTACACACGATGAAACAGAAAAATCTAAATAACCCTATATCTATCAAAGAGATTTAATTTATTATAAAAATATCTCTACAAAAAAGGATAGCCTTTCAACATGTGGTATGAAAACAGATGGACCATTCATGTCCTGAAAACTAACCCTTGACCCTCACCTCCCATCTTGTATAAAATCTAACTTAAAATGTAAGACTTAAAACAAGAGTTAAATCTATAAAACACAGGAGAAAATATTCACGAGCTTGGGTTAAGGAAAGATTTCTTAGATAGAAAACATACAAAAAATGAACCAAAAATTGATATGTTAAACTCATCAAAATGAAAAACTGCTGCATTTCAAAAGACACTATTAAAAAAATGAAAAGACAAGCCACAGAAAATGAGAAAATATTTGCAAAGCACGTATCTTGTAAAGGACTCGTATCCAGAATATCCAGTCTCACCACTTTGCAACATTATCCTAGAAGCCTTATTTAATGCCACCAAACAAAGAAATAAAAGGCATAACTATTAGCAAGTAAGAAGTAAAATTGACCCTCTTGGAAAGCACACAATTTTTCACATAGTCATAAGCATTCAACAACAACAAAAACTATTAGAATTAATAAATAAGTGTAACAAGGTTTCAGGATATAAGGTCAATTTAAAAATATTACTTTTATATCAATATAACAGCAGAAAACAGTAGGAAAATTAAGTTTTAAAAAAGTTCTATTATACAATAGTGTCAAAAAGCATAAAATATTTAGAAATAAATTTTTAAGAACTTGTGCAAGATCTCTATAATGAAAACTAAAAAACATGGCTAGAAATAGTAAAGAAGACCAAAACTCACTATTGTTAAGCTGTCAGTTGATGTGAAGAATCTTTCAATCCTCATTAAAATCCCAGGAATCACCCCAAGGTTTTTCTAAAATGAATATTGAAATGCATTAGCCAAAATATATCTGCAAAGTGCATAATGAAAACAATCTTTTATGAAAGCTGGAGGATTTACATTATCTGACTTTAAAACTTAATATAAAGCTATATAGTAAGTATAGTGTGGTATTAGCAAATAAGATAGTTTAATGGAGTAAACTAGAGATTTGAGAAATAGACCTATTCATATATAGTCAATCGATTTTTCAACCAAAGCATCAAGTAAATTCACTGAGGAAAATGACAGTCTTTTCAACAAATGATTTAACAACAATTGGCTGTCCATATAGGAAAAAAATAATACACCTCAACTTCTACCTCACACCATACACCAAAAAGTTTTTCAAGATGGATCATAGATCTAAACATAAAAGCTAAAACTAGAAAACTTAGGACAATATATTCATAACCTGAGGATAGGTAAATATTTCTTAGCACAAAAATGATAATCATAAAAGAAAAAAATTGATAAACTATACTTCTACAAAATTAAAAACTTTTGCTCATCAGACTACTTACTCAGTTAAGGAAACGAACAAGCCACAAATTGGGAGACAATATTCACAAAACATATATCTGATAAAGGACTTGCATCCAGAATATGTAATAATATATTAAAAACTCTTATAAATCCATAGTAAGAAAAACAACCCATTGGGGGGGAAAAATGGGTAAAAGTCTGGAGCAGACACTTCACACAAAAAATGTACAAATGGCCAATAGGCACATGAAAAAGTGCACAACATCATGAGTGATGAGAGAGATCAAACTAAAACTACAAAGACATACCAGTATACACTTATTGAAATGGCGAAAATGAAAAAGACAAAATTCCAAACATTGGTAAGAGTATGGAGCAACTGGATCTCTTACTTCTAAATAATCTGTGGGTCAAAGAAAGAATCTCAAAAGAAAATTTTTAAAAATATCTAGAAGTTAGTGAAAAAAACACAGTGTGTTAAATTTTGTAGGACACAGCTAAATGGAAACAGAACCAGTAGATTATATATAGATATATATGAGAGGAGATTTACTACAAGAATTGGCTCAAGTGGTTGTGTAGGCCATGAAGTCTCACAACCTGCCGTCTGCTAGCTGGAGAACCAGGAAAACTGGTGGTACAATTTAGTCTGAGTCGAAGGCTTAGAGCTAGAGGGCCACTGGTATAACCTGGAGTCCACAGGCCTAAGAACCAGGAGCTCTGATGTCCCAGCTAAAGAAGAGAGAATTTGCCCTACCTTCACCTTTTTTAGTTTCACTTGGGCCCTCAATGGATTAAATGATGTTAACCTACATTGGTGAGGGCATATCTCTTTATTAAGTCTACTGAATCAAATACAAATCTCTTCCAAAAACACTCTCACAGACACACTGAAAAATAACGTTTTACCAGCTATCTGGGCCTCCCTTAGCCTGGTCAGGTTGACACATGACATTAGCCATCACAGCACCTGAATACTTATATTAGAAAAAAAACACCAATGACAGAAACTGAAATTAAAAACAATACCATTTGCAATCATCCCCCCAAAAAGAAACACCTAGGTGTACAGCTAACAAAATACATACAAGACCTGAAAATGACAAAATGCTGATAAAGAAACCAAAAATCTAATATTAAGCTTGCCTAGTGAAATACTGTAATATTAAGTAAGCTTGCCTGGTGAAAAGGAGGGATCCTAAAGTCAATTCCTGATGTGTATGATATTTTTTAGAAATTTACAGAATGGTTTTTGGGCTTTGATCTTCATCATTAAAAAGGATGTAATCTCTTCTTCAAAGAGTTTTTATAAAAATTAGACAAGTTAGTGAATGTGACAAAAGTTTTATAAATCTTAATGGTATACAAATGTTAGTTATGTTTACACTTAAAATTAGGTGGGTCCTGAAAATATAAAAAATCTTAGAATAATTACTTCTACAAAAATAACTGACCAAAACTGTCATTTACCTATTGGCATTTTGAAGAGCAATATAACTATAGTAAATATGCTTGTAATCTTGTATAGTGCTTATTTTATTGCTAGTAAATTGATTCTATTTATTGAATGGTCATTTCTTAAAAACAAAGACTGTCCTTTAAATAGCTACCATCATATCTTAAATATTTTTATATCTTATTTAATACCAGTATTTCCAAGCTGTGTATATTAATAGTAACACATTTTGATATGTTTTATATTCTGTTTTTCTCATTTCAGGTCAATGAATACATTTTTGATAATTTATCTAATAATACTTATTTCTGAAGCCATCATCAGTACTATTTTGAAATATGCATGGCAAGCTGAAGAAAAATGGGATGAACCTTGGTATAACCAAAAAACAGAACATCAAAGAAATAGTAGTAAGGTATTTTATGGTGTTCTTGACTCTGCTTGTAAAGGAAACTATTCTTTAGAACAATTACTGCTTTGGTAGTCACTCCTAATAGGCGTGACCACTGTGATGACCACTGTAATCTCCTAAAATCATTGCTACTGAAGGGTGACAGAATGAAGAGTAGCCAGCATGTTTGTACTGGTATGCTTTGTGCATTTTAGGGCATAAGCTATTATATTTTCTATGGCATGACTTGAATAGTTACAAGAGATCACAGAACTTTGAATTGTCTATATTGGCATTCCATTTGAATACTGCAAATTCAGTTTTTTATTCCATTTACTGTATGTTATAAGTGAAATACAGTAAGTTGATTTTATTTTCAGTTCTGTCAGAATAATTCAAGGAGTCTTACTGTTGTTGTCTATTGATGGTATGAAGTAATAACACAAATTATATCAGATAAAGTTTTAAACTGACTAAATATGAACTACCAAGAGAATTTAACCTGCAATTTTGGTAAATAATTGTTGTCTAAATTTTACCTTAGATTAAAATACAAATATTGGAAGACAAATTTGGATCTCAAGAGACCACAAAGCAGATAATCACAGGAACATATTTTCAGTATCACTCATTACTAGGTATTTTACCAGAATGCATGTTAAAATGTGGTACAGCCATGCCATTAAAGTAGGCTATTCCTGGATAATCTGTAATTAAGAGTTTTAAATTCTAGTAGTTCTAGCCTAGCAATTTTATAATTGTTTTAAAATTACAGTCAATTTTTAATTATGTGTGGTTTTGAAGGGTAGGAGGAGAACGGTAAGTATATTCCAGAGGTTATCATTACAATTTTGCCAAAAGCAGTTTCTGCCTTTTTGGTGGCTTCTGAAAAGTAACAAATTAAGTAATTTGAATTTAACCTTTTTTCTTTTACTTTGTTCAAGAGTCTAATGAGCAATAAAACTATCAAAAAAATGTGTTAAAAAGACAAATCAGTAAATGAATTTCAATTCATGAGACTATTCTGATTCAGAATGTAGTTAATGGTATATTTAGACGTGAAACTTTCTGATAATTTTCTTGAGCGATACTGAAGAAATTTTCATCTTTTCTCTTTTCTCAAATGATCATTTTTTTCACTCTAGATTCTGAGATTTATTTCAGACTTCCTTGCCTTTTTGGTACTCTACAATTTCATCATTCCAATTTCATTATATGTGACAGTCGAAATGCAGAAATTTCTTGGATCATTTTTTATTGGCTGGGATCTTGATCTCTATCATGAGGAGTCAGATCAAAAAGCTCAAGTCAATACTTCCGATCTGAATGAAGAGCTTGGACAGGTAAATGATCTTTTTATTTTGTTTTTCTAATTTATTTTGTATCAAAACAATACATGTATAAAGACTAATAAAATATTACAAAGCTTATACCAGAAAACAGCCCTATTTTGCTCCGCACCTAATTTTGTTTTTTATTTCAAAATCTTAAGCTGTTTCTTCCATTACTTAGCACTATAATTCTATATAGTATTCTTTCTTGATTTTTAAGTTTTAGGCATTATTTACTATAGAATATAAAAATAAAACTGTTACACTACTCCTTCCACACACATACCCAGACACATACCCACTTTGCCTCTACACTTGATTAATAATTTAGCTGGGTAATACATCACAAACTTCAAAATGTATGTAGATTTAAAATATTTTCTGTTACCCTGTTTTGTTTCCATGACATCTTTAATTATTTAATTGTGCTTGGATTATAAGAATTAGCATCCCTATATCAATTTTAATAGGGAAACTTGGCTTTAGGAAACAGAGGCGAAGATTTTTTTGTTTAACATAGGACCATGAACACAGGTTTGTTTTCTTTTGTTTTCTATCTCTAGGTGGAGTATGTGTTTACAGACAAAACTGGTACACTGACAGAAAACGAGATGCAGTTTCGGGAATGTTCAATTAATGGTATAAAATACCAAGAAATCAATGGTAGACTTGTATCCGAAGGACCAACACCAGATTCTTCACAAGGAAACTTGACTTATCTTAGTAGTTTATCCCATCTTAACAGTTTATCCCATCTTACATCCAGTTCTTCTTTTAGAACCAGTCCTGAAAATGAAGCTGAACTAGTAAGCAATTTTTAAATTAATAGATAGAACTTTCCTTTGAAATAATTTTCTTTTTGTTTGTGGGACAAGGAATATATATTTGAAATGTATATCCTTTAATACTGAGAATTTGTAGTTGTAACCCAGTTTAATTTGTTACTTAATATGTACTTGCCTTAGTTCTCTATGTAATTAAATGGAACTAAGTTAAGGAAAGCCCTTACTGCCTTGAAGTAAAGAAGACTTTGCTGGGGCCGGCCAAGTGGCTCAGTTGGTTAAGAGCTCGCTCAAGAGTGCGATCTCTGAGCAACAACGGTTCGAGTCCTGGCCCGAGCTGAGCTGCCAACAGGTGGCAGGATGGCTCAGCTAAAGAAAAAAAGAAAAAAAAAGACTTTGCTGAGAAATAGCGTTTAAATTGATTTAATAATTTATTTAAACACTTCCACAAAAGTGTTTTTACCTTTACTTGCAAGTTGGTTTTGCCTTCTAAAAAGTTTGAAGGGGTCATAAGCAAATGTGACATTTTACTCTTTGGAGTCAGAAGCATCCAGCTGTTATTTAGGCAATTCAGGATTGTAGCATTCTTGTTCTAGATCTTAAAGTCTACCAAATCAGTGACTGTATTTATTGGCAGTTTTTAGAATTCTTTTTCTGATTTCCTACATGTTACTTGGGAGTGATGTTCATAGTGTGAATGTTAATTATGTTTTTACAGATTAAAGAACACGATCTCTTCTTTAAAGCAGTCAGCCTCTGTCACACTGTACAGATTAGTAATGTTCAGACTGATGGCATTGGTGATGGGCCCTGGCAATCCAACCTTGCACCCTCCCAGCTGGAGTACTATGCATCTTCACCAGATGAAAAGGCTCTAGTGGAAGCTGCTGCAAGGTAGTTTAGTCTGATTTCCAAATCTTCAGAAAAAACACCTTTTAAAATAAAAATGTGAAAATACTAGAAAATTATTTTACATTGTCAGACAAAATTCATAAACACATAAATGTAGAAGTATATTTTTAGTTGTTAATGAGAATTTGAAATGTCTCATTAATTTTGTTCAGGTTGCAGTAGAGTCGTATTTAAAGTGATCCTTTAAAAATGGTTACTGTGAAATACGAATAATATAATTTGTGAGAATACTTTTGTATGTATTATTTTGGGCCTACTATGATCCGTCAAGTCTTAAAAAGAATGCTATGTTCTAAGGAAATATTTTAAAATACATCTCAGACTTATGTTTTAAATCAGTGGGTCTCAACCTTCCTAATGCCACAACCCCTTAATACAGTTCCTCATGTTGTGGTGACCCCCAACCATAAAATTATTTTCATTGCTACTCTATAACTGTAATTTTGCTACTGTTATGAATCGTAATGTAAATATCTTTTTGTTTTCCAATGGTCTTAGGCAACCCCTGTGAAAGGGTCATTCGACCCCCAAAGGGGTCGCGACCCACAGGTTGAGAACTGCTGTTTTAAATGTTTTTATGGAAGCTAAGTTATAATGACATACTGTGAAATATGAAATATCATTTCTTAAATCTTATATTTCTTTTTCCTCTTATTCCCTAGAATTGGCATTGTGTTTATTGGCAATAGTGAAGAAACTATGGAAGTTAAAACACTTGGAAAACTGGAACGGTAATTTTTTTCTATATTGTAATTATCTATATATTAAGCATTTAGCGTAGAATAGAAATAGGTAAATTGTGGCTCACAGGCCATATCTGGCCTACAGCCTATTTTTGTACAGCCCACAAATTACATTACATTTGCAACAGAGACCCTATATGGCCTATAAAGCCTAAAATATTCACTGTCTAGCTCTTTACAGAAAAAGTTTACTAACCCTTGCTCTAGAATGATGTCAGTATCATATTGTGTTTCATCACGGTAGTAACAATATCCTGCTCTGAAGCTTTCATCTGTATTTTAGCCTAATGGTTCTTGAATTTACTTATATGTTTATTTTTACACATTCCTGAGGTAATGAGTTTCATAAGTTTCTACTCACTAAATGAAGAAAAGCTTTCTTTTGTTTCTTATGATTTTATCTTTTAAACCTTAAGGAACAGCTGTCTTATTTCTATTTTCTGATAAATTAGTCCATTCTTATGTTCATATGTTTCATGGTTTTATCAATTCCAGTCATATCTCAACTCCAGCTGTGTATTTTTAAACTATGCTTTTCCAAGCTAAATAGAGCCCATTCTTTGGCCACTTTTATATGGGAGCCTGTCTAGCTCATTCCATCAACGTATAAACCATCATTCCAATCAGTGGTTTTTCTTCGAGATGGGCAAAGCATTGCATATGTATATCATTGTATAAATTTATCCAGAAGACTTTTCAGGCCACACCCATTCACACAAATGCTTCTACAGCTTCCTAGAGAGGCATTGGTTCACCCACCTACACACATACACCCTGTCCCAGGTTCAGAATCACTGCTGTAATGAGCCTCTGTTACTAATGTAAATGTGTTGTATTTCTCAGGTGTGTTTGGGCTGACAAAAACGATTAAAAATGAATCATCATTTTTAGTGAGAAAAACATGGAGTTGGGCAGATTCCAATCCTAGCTATGCCACTCACATGCTTATTTGACTTTAGGCAAATTACTTAATCTTTATGAGTTTAATAGTCCTCATTTGTGAAAGACCTACCTCCTTTGGCACTCATGGGTATCAAGTGACATAAGATATGTAAAATATATGGTGTTTGGTAAATATTCAATAAATGTCCATTCCTTCTATTTATATTTTATGTTGTTAATAATGTAATGACTCATAACCAGTCATCTTGAAAATGTGGGTGAGGTTAACTTCTTGTTCTAAATTAACCATTTTTATCTTTTATAGGGATTCTTTCTAAATATTCACTCAATATTCAAAAAAAGTAAAGTTTTATCTTTCTTATTTTTTTCCCTTAGGTACAAACTACTTCATGTTCTGGAATTTGATTCAGATCGTAGAAGAATGAGTGTAATTGTTCAGGCACCTTCAGGTAACCTACCTAAACTTGTATGAATTCTTATTTTTCTAATATGATGAGCTTGATAACTCACTTTTCTTTTCAGGTGAGAAGTTTTTATTTGCTAAAGGAGCTGAATCATCAATTCTCCCTGAATGTATAGGTGGAGAAATAGAAAAAACCAGAATTCATGTAGATGAATTTGCTTTGGTGAGTGAAAATTTCTGTGATTTAAAAACTAAAAAGACATGTATATTTGAAAGATTTGGGATTTTCTTTTACATTAATAATTTATCAAAAGTTATGGAAATTCTGCAGCTTTGTTACATTATGTGTTGGCTCCACATTCTTTGGTTAAAATTTGCTAAAATATAAGTCTTTTTGAACCTATCATAGTCAGGGCACTTCTGGCCACAAGGACTACTCAAATTACATACTATATTAAAAAGGAGGGCTTACTAAAAGAATACAGGGGAATCCAGAGAAACTGGAACCCCCATGCATTGCTGGTGGGAATATAAGTGAGGCAGCTACTTTAGAAACTAGTTTGGTAGTTCCTCATAGAACATAGAGTAATATAGTTACTATATGACCCAGCAATATACCCGAGAGAATTAAAAACATATGTCTACATAAAAACTTGTACACAAATGTTCTTAGCATTATTCCTAATGGCTAAAAAATGGAAACACCCAAGTGTCCATCAGGGTACAGATTAAACAATGTGTCACTATTCTGCCATAAGAAAAGATGAAATACTGCCATTTATGACAAAATGGATGGATCTTGAAATTATCATGCTAAGCAACATAAGTCAGAGAAAAAGTCAAGAACCATATGATTTCACTGATAAACGGGATATAAAACTGAAAACAACAAAGGAACAAGACAAACAAACAAAGAAACAAAACCTCACAGGCACAGACAATAGTTTAGTGGTTACCAGAGGGTAAGGCGGGAGAAGGGTGGTAGATGAGGGTAAAGGGGATCAAATATATGGTGATGGAAGGAGAACTGACTGGGTGGTGAACACACAATGGGATATATAGATGATGGATTACAGAATTGTACACCTCAAACCTATGTAATTTTACTAACCATTGTCACTCCAATAAACTTTAATTTATAAATTAATTAATTAATAAACAATGTGTCATGTCCATATAATGGACTGTTGTTTGCCACCAAAAGAAGTGAAGTACTGATGCTACACATGGATGAACCTTGAAAAGATTATGCTTAGTGAAAGAAGCCAGTCACAAAAGGCCACGTATTCCATTTATATGCATTATCCAAAATGAGCAAATTCACAGTGGTTGCCAGGGTCTGGAGGAAGGATGGAAAGGGAGTGAGGGTCTTTGAATGGATATGGGACTCCTTTGGATGTGATGAAAATGTTCCTTTAAATTAGTGACTTTTATGGTATATGAATTATGCCTCTCAATAAAAGAATGTAGGAGACTCTCACAGAAACAAAGTGCCACAGTTCATGTGAACAATCATTAAGCAGCTCTCGCGCCATCTTAGGACCGTATCATACTCTCTCGTTTCTGCATTTCTATAAATGTGTACCCATACTAATCTCTGCTCACCGGCCTCCATTACTCACTTATGGCTTCTTTTCTCCCATTACTTGTTCCCTCAGTGTTTATGACCTGGTTCATCTACCACACTGTAACAGCCACAAAAGCAAAGGCGCTGTTCACCTTGCTGTCATTTATATCAGTATTCAGAACAGTGCTGGCACATAGTTGGCACTCAATAAATATTTGTTGTAGAATGAATTAATTAATTTCATATATTGATAACTCCCATGGTCCATTAACTGTTATTTAGGAAAAACAGTGATTTGTAGGGTCATTTGTAAATCAAGGAATGCCAATATTTAGAAATCTGGGGGATGACTAGTTAGCTCAGCTGGTTAGAGCGTGGTGCTGATAACACCAAGGTTTGCAGTTTGATCCCCGCATGGGTGACTGTGAGCTGTGCCCTCCCTGAAAGAGTCAACTATGCCATTGTAGCATGAAAGCAATGTGTGACCAATGACCATGGCTGTTTCCCCAATAAAATTTAAAAAAGAAAGAAAAAAATCTGCTAAATAATGTCATATAGTATTTTAAAATCTACCTTTTTCCAAGTTCTATTGTTAGAACATTTATTTTGGGTTTTACTAAGGAAAATATATAGCAACAAAAGGAACTTTTATAAGCTTTTAGATTTAAATACCAACTTTCAAATATTAATACTGTTAAGAAAAACTTGAACCCAGTAGAATCAGATAATCAAATATATATTCCTAAGTTTTGTGTAATTCCAATTTACAATAATACAGTTTTAAAACATTCAGGAAGTATTATTATTTGTTTGATGATGTCCACCTTACATATTTATTTGAATTGTAAATTTGTCATATATGAATTCTCAGGAAATTATGGTCCCCTTTGCCAAAAATACAGATTCTTACGAAGTAGATAAAAGTGGATTTGTGGGGGCTGGCCGAGTGGCTCAGTTGGTGTAAGAGCGCGAGCTCTGAGCAACAGGGTCACCTGTTCAATTCCCACATGAGCCAGTGAGCTGTGCCCAAGCTGAGCTGCCAACAGGTGGCAGGATGTCTCAGCTGGTGAGAGCACATGCTTCTAACAACAAGGCTGCTGGTTCAACTCCCGCATAGGATGCTGGGCTATGCCCACCTGCAACTAAGATTGAACATGGCACCTTGAGCTGAGTGGCCACGAGCTGCTGATAGGCCGGCCAGATGGCAACTGGACTTGGAGCTGAGCTAGCTGCGCCCTCCACAACTAAGATTAAAGAACAACAACTTGTTTGTTCCCCTTCCCCAATTCCCCAACACTGTTTCCCTTCCCCCAATTCCCCAATAAAATCTTTAAAAAGAAAAAAAAGTGGATTTGTAATGGTTACAGCAGGAGGGTAGAATCTGTGGCTGTCTCTCTCTTGACAAACCTGAAGGTAACCATTATAGAACTTTCTGTCTTTCCAGGTAAAACAGTTTTAAAACTACAGGTAAAATCATTTTTATGATCCTGTCTAGGCTCTAATATTCTACAATTCAAAGACCTTAATTACTTTGAGCAACTTTTTAAGACTCATCAGAAATTGAAAGAGTTATGATAATATATGTCTCATAACTCAGATCACTAGGACTTTGTGACACTTCATTTATCTCCTATCACTAGATGATAGTACTTTTAAATTATTTTTAATTGATTTTTGGTAATGGGGTCCTCAGTTTATTTCAGCGACTCCTTGATTTCCCATTAGTTATTTTTATTCAATTTTTGTCTTTAATTTTTCTGTTTTAGAAAGGACTAAGAACTCTGTGCATGGCTTATAGACAATTGACATCTAAAGAGTATGAGGTAATAAATAGACGCCTATTTGAAGCCAGGACTGCCTTGCAGCAACGAGAAGAGAAATTGGCCAATGCCTTTCAGTTTATAGAGAAAGACCTGATATTACTTGGAGCCACAGCAGTAGAAGACAGGTAAATATCAGATAAATAGGCAATGTCATTTTTTTCTCGTAAGAATTTCGTAAGAATTTTCATAGCCAAGTGTTTCTATTTTATGGCAAATTCCATTTATTAACATCCTATAATAATATATTTAAAATCAAAATAGAGTTAAAACCTTAATTTTTTTCCAGTTAGCATATACAATTTTTCTTCTAGTCAGATATCTGAAATAGATGAAAGAATCCAGCTATGTATAATTTTGCCTACAGACTTGAATTTTTAGAATATTCTTCAGTGTGTGATATACAAAGACTTGAAGCACCTGCTTAATTCTCCAGCCTCACTTCCCACCACTGCCTCCTTCTACTTCATGCTTCAGCAGTACCAAACTGTCTGTAGTTCTCCTCTGAACAACAACTATAGTTAAAACTATTGGTTTTATGGCTTTGTTCCTTGGCAAGGCTATGCCTTCTGCTTGATCAGTCTTCCCTTATCCATTTTTGAATACCTATTTGTAAACTATGGCTTGGATATTACCCCCACTCCAATAAGACCTTTCCTTACCCCTAACAGAATGAAAAATTCTGTTTTTTTATGAAGCCTCCATGTTTTGTAGGTAGTTCTGTGTTGTCCATACATAAGTATAATTATTTGTTTAAAGACTTTCTACTCTGTTAGCCTGTGAATTCCTCAAGGTCCACTTATTCTTTGTCTTTGTTCTTCAGCATCGATCTCAAATGTGTGTTTCAGTTTCTTGAAATAAATTGAATTCTATGAGTTAATCCTGTTACATTTTCCTCTGCCTCCTAGATCTATGGGTGTTTGCATTTTTTTAATCTAGGCTTTCATTTACTTTTCAGTTGTCCTCATAAGATTTCTGAGACTCACTGAGGTTATGTGGTCCTTTATTGTCCAGTCTGATTTTTGAACTACTGATATGAGAGATTTCCTTATCAAAAACAGAGAAAAATCTTCTAATTTGAAATTTAAGACTTTGTAATAAAATAGGAGTTTATGTAGACCATATACTTAATTTGGTTCTATACAAATCAACTTTGAAGATACATTCTTAAAATATGAGATTGTAGATTTTATGTTAACTAGACGATCACTAATTTGGTTATTCCTGTTTCTTGCCTAATGGGGGAAAATTTCAGTTATATTACTAAACTGAATGTTACTGTAACATTCCTATGTCAAGAAGTCCAAAATTTACCTTACTTGTACTACTTGATTAATACTTAAAATACAGTCCAAAAAAGTATTCTCTACCCTAGTTTTGTTTCTTTTATTTTCAGATTACAAGATAAAGTACGAGAAACTATTGAAGCATTGAGAATGGCTGGTATCAAAGTATGGGTACTTACCGGAGATAAACATGAAACTGCTGTTAGTGTGAGTTTATCATGTGGACATTTTCACAGAACCATGAATATCCTTGAACTTATAAACCAGAAATCAGACAGTGAATGTGCTGAACAATTGAGGCAGCTTGCCAGAAGGTAAGAATATAATTATCTGAATCATAGAGTACAGGAGTAAGCAAACTATGGCCCAATGCCTGTTTTTTATAGCCCATGAGCTCAAAATAATTTTTACATTTTTTGGTGAATGAAAAATAATCCAAAGAATAATATTTCATATTGTAAAAATTATATGAAAATCAAATTTTGGTGTCTATAAAGTTTTATTGGAAGACAGCCATGTTCATTCACTTACATATCATCAGTGAAGGCTTTTTGCACTACTGCAGCACAGTTGAGTATTTACAGCAGACACCTTATAAAGCACTTTTATGATTTCTCACTGATGCTTGATACACTACAGTTAGTGACAGTTATACTTCAATAGTGTTTTGAGTGCCCACACATATTGCCATATGACATTTTACTAATATTATCAGTATTTACTCATCATGTCCAAATAAGAAAAATGGACTTTTAATATCACCCTTTTAAAGCACAGTGGAGTGTTGACTATTTTATTATCAAATTAGATGCAAAGTATTGTACTTATTACTTGATAACACTTTAATATGCTACCTGTTTGCAAAGATATTCAAAGATGAAATATAAAATCTCATTTCATATAGTACTGTTGTATTAAAATGTAAAAACTCATTACAGATCACCATTAACAGATGGACATTTGCAGTTGATTTTGATGACAGGAAACATTAAGTTTGAACTCCAATTAAGCAAAATGTTATTTACGCTCCCCCCAAAAAGATCTCCTTTCTTCTCATTAGTAGACTTATATTATTTAATCAAATTATACACCATTGTTATTACAGTTTTTACTTAGTCAATAAAAATTTTGTCAAAATTTGTTTCCTCTTTTTTAATATAAGTACCTACATAATACCCTTAATTTATCCTCTTGGCCCACATAACCTAAAACTGAAGTGTAGTTACTTTTGCCCATTACAGGAAACATCTCCCACCCCTCATCTGTTCGCATGACCAAACTAGAAAATCACTCTGCATTTTACTATTCAAAGATAATTTCATAAGTATTTGTATTCTAAATTCATTTTTTTTCCTAAATCTATATTTTATACACAGTCAACTTTATTTAGGAGCCCCCATTTAGCAGAGCCTAATTTTTCACAATAAATTAAGGAATGCTTCAGTGTAAGCATCAGGGTTGCTTATATGTAGGTATTGGGTTGTCAGGAAAGTCATGATGCTTTTTTGCATTGAAAAACATAGAAAAATACGTCATGACTTTCCCGATGACCCAATATTTAGGTTTCTTACAGGTTCCGGTCATTAAGTCTTGTGATATAGGGCAGCAAATTGAATGTGAAATACAATGTTACAGTTGTCAACATACATTCAGGGCTTTATTTATATTTGTTATGCAGGCATCAATGTGGTGCTAAAGTCTGGATTTCATCAAAGAAAAACTTATTTAAGAGATGTTTTAAAGAGACAATACAACTCTCAGAAGGTTCTTTGCTTGAGTTCAAAAAGGTGACTAACCTAGGTCATTATACTACAGTGTGGGAGTAGTGCCAGCACCATCGTGGCTGCTTAAACATATAAGTACCATAATGTCAGGGAGAACACCTGAAAACAGATTAATTGCTCAGAATCATTTACTTTATATATTCCTTCTAAAATATTATTTCTGAGGCTGGCCAAGTGACTCATTTGGTTAAGAGCACGCCCAAGAGTGCGAGCTCTGAGCAACAGGGTCGCCAGTTTGATTCCCAGCCTGAGCTGAGCTGCCGCTGAGCTGCCAACAGGTGGCAGGATGGTTAAGCTAAAAAAAATGAATAAAATATTATTTCTGTTTATAAAAGTAATAAATGTGTATTTAAATAATGCTAGAAATGATAAAGAAGATATGATACTTAACAACAGTGCAACCATCTAAAGATAATTATCACTTGTTATTTTAGAATATTTTCTTTACGTCTTCTATATAGGTACTTTTAGTGAACCTGTTACGGTCATGGATATTGTTCATTTCCCTTTTTACACAGACATTGTATTATAAAGGAAGACTATACCTTAAAATGAATTTCACAGTGAGTCAATAGGGTTTTGATTTCAGACTTTCAGGAAGTATCTATTCTAAAAATCTTGGGTAGAGCAAAGAATTCTATATCTTTGAAAGCTTTAGTTTATATATCCATTCATTCACAAATATACATTGATTGTCTCCTATCTAGGCATTAGAACACAGAGTCATATAAGGTGTTTGTTTACATATTGTTTACTCTCAGACTATTTAGTGTGTGTAGGGAAAAAAAAGTAAATGTATTGTCATAGACTTGTCACAAGTGAATTGTAACGGAGGCAAGAACAGAGAACTGTGGGTGGATAGAAGAGGGAAGCTTAGCCGAGACACAAAGCTCTGTTGAAGAGCTCGTGACTGTGTTGTCTCCTAAGAGATGAAATGTAACCCAGTCAGAGAGTAACACCCAGAAACAGAAGGGGCAGTGTGTGCAGATTCCCAGAGCTGAAACAGGGACTTATTCAAGGAATCGGTTGTAGTTAAGTATGGCCGAGAATGGACTAGATGGGCGAGGGTCTGGGAAGTAGTGAGATATGAGGGTGCAGAGACAAGCAGATGCTACCCGCTATGTGCCAGAACTGTGAGGTGCTTTTCCATGGTTCATAAATATCCCATGGATTGTGAGACAATATGCTGATTTGTGAAGCCCTTCCAGAGGAAACCCCAATCTAGTGTGCTTAGTTAGGAAGGTTCCCTAGGAAAACTGCTCCCCCTTCTGAGGTGTGTCAGGCAGGACTTAGGCTGCACACATTAGAGGCTGCACAGGTTGCTAAGTCCAGTTTGCCCAATAGGGAGGAAAAACAGTCAGTGTAGATGCTGAGTTCAGATGTTGGAGAATTAATAAAGAAAAGAAAAAAACATTTTTAAAGTTTATGTTGTAAAAGTGAATTACCACTTATTAGTTATAGTGCAACATAATGGTGGTTAGGCATACTATGAAAGACATCATTTTAACTTATACAAGGTTGTTGTTGTTTTTTAATATTATAAGACTAAAATCTATCAATATGTTTAGTTTTTATAGATTATTGCTCATTTAATATTTCTCATTTCAAAAATTGATGGTACAGCCACTATGGAAAATAATGTAGAGAGGTTCCTCAAAAAGTTAAAAACAGAACTACCATATGATGTAGCAATCTCACTTCTGGGTATTTATCCAGAGGAAATGAAATCACTATCTTGAAGGCCTATCTGCACCCACATGTTTATTGCAGCATTATTCACAATAGGGAAGAATGGAAACAACCTAAGTACCCATTGATGTATGAATAAAGAAAATGTGTGTGTGTGTGTGTGTGTGTGTGTGTGTGTGTGTGTGTGTGTGTACACAAAGTAATATTATTCAGCCATAAAAAAGAAGGAAATCTTGCCTTTTGTGACAACATGGGTGGACCTTTAGGGCATTATGCTAAGTGAAATAATGCTAATAAGTCAGACAGAAAAAGACCAATATTTATATGTGGAATCTAAAAAGCCGAACTCATAGAAATGGAGTAGAATAGTAGTTGCCAGGGAATGAGATGTGGTGGGAGTGGGGAGATGATGATCAAAGGGTACAAATTTCCAGCTTATATACAAGATGAATAAGTTCTGGGGATCTTATGTACAGCTGGTGACTATAATTAACAGTATTGTATTATATTCCTGAAAATTAAGAGAGTAGATCTTAAATGTATCACCACACACAAAAAATGGCAATTACATGAGGGGTTGGAGGTGTTAACCGCCCTTATGTGGTAATCATTTCACAATGTATATGTGTTGCACACCTGAAATTTACATGTGTTATATATCAATAATATCTCAGTAAAGCTGGAAAAAAATTAAAATGGAGGGATATTTCTCAGTAGCTGCGTGCCATCCTGTAAACCCAGGGGTAAGCTGTAGTGTATTTTTGTGGTGGATGGAGCACAATGCTGCCTTGAGTGTGGCCTTGCACAACATAGAGGAGCTTGCACCAGAAAGTATATGTATGTATTGCTTCTTTCATCGAGAAAATCTCAGGGAATGGGGAGAAACAGTTGAACAGAATAATGTGCTCAGTAACGTAATTGATATACATACTGATGCAAACTTCTTATCTCTTCCTGGCAACAAATAGTATGCCTGGCTGCCATTTATCGGACATATGAGTCATACTAGTATAGCATATGCCCACAAGGGAGGTGTTACCCATGTTCTACCATAGTAACATCTGTGTTACAGTCTATTGTAGGGGTTAATGTCAAGCAACAGTTAGGATTCCTTGATTCCTTACCTTTCTACTTACACAGATGGTGACTCTTAACTCATGAATTTTCCTGAATAATGTTGATTTCATTTAATTTTTAAAAATTAGGATTTGCTAAATGTAACTAATAATATTTTTATTTTTGGAAGGCTTTTCATACTCAAGTTTGGGAGAATATGCTCAGATTATGTGTTACAATTCACATTTTAGAAAATCTGGTTAACTCTATCTTTATATATAAATTGTAATATTGAATATCATCTGTTTTACTCATCATGTGAGTCACTCTCCATTCTGCTTAATCTTAACTGTCAGGTAATACAACTGTGTTCCCAGACATATCAGTTTTGTAATAGTAAAGTCTGTGGATGAATGGTTGTAAGACTCTTTCATTTACTAAGTAAGTGTAAATAATATGACTTAAGAGTATCTCACAGAGGATATAATTACTTTTTCTTTTAGAATTACAGAGGATCATGTGATTCAGCATGGGCTGGTGGTGGATGGGACCAGCCTATCTCTTGCACTCAGGGAGCATGAAAAACTATTTTTGGATGTTTGCAGAAATTGTTCTGCTGTATTGTGTTGTCGTATGGCACCACTGCAGAAAGCCAAGGTATGTTTGTTATAAAAAGTTTCATAAAGATATATAGATCTAAAAATATTCTTTAAGGTTAATGCCTTAATCTAGTTCCATTTGGTGGCATGCAGTATATGAATCTGTCTAGGAGCCGGTCACTTCTCATGAATTTCAACCATGTATATATTAGACCTTCGGAATTTTCAGAGTGAATATGAAGGTTTCAACTGTTCATAATAACCTGAAATGTCTGTAGTGGGTAACAGTTTGTCATTTTCCTGACACACAGATTTGAACTGAGATAACTAAGGTTTCACAAGTTAGTTACTTAACTAGTGAGGGAGCCTGTAAGCTTCAGTTCATCTGCACCCTCAGGTGGTTCTGTTGATCTCTGCTTATTCTTGTATTCTCATAAAGTGATAATTCTCTTGGTTAAAAATGGCTATTAAGTGATAGAACTTGAGTAAGAAGTTGAAAAGCCAATTAACTTGTGATAAGAAGCTATATACAGAAAATATTTAAATTACAGCTATGATTCAAGTAGAAGCCTATACAAATATTTTTGTAACTCCTGATTTATAATTTGAGATCGGAGACTGTATCCTTCACAAATATCCTTTGAAATGCACATCTAAACACTGATTGTTTCACACATAGGTCTAATAAATTAGACATTCAATTTTTTTTTTTTTGGCTTCATGAAATTTTATTACAATGTCTATATTATTATAATTCATATCCCCAGGCAATGGAGATTAAAACTGGAGACCAAACAGAGCTAATGCCTAGGTTCTTTATAAAAGTACATTCAAGAATTTCAAAGAAACATTTTTTTGATGTTATTGAATTTAATCTTGATTGCTTTTATTTATTTATTTATTTATTTATTTATTTATTTATTTATTTATTAATTATTAAGCTGAGCCATCCTGCCACCTGTTGGCAGCTCAGCGGCAGCTCAGCTCCGGCCAGGAATCAAACCACTGTTGCTCAGAGCTCAAACTCTTAAGGAAGCTCTTAACAAACTGAGCCAGTTGACCGGCCCTTCTTGATTGCTTTTAAACATTTTAAAATTTTATTACAGGAGAAAATGATTATCTTCTATATCAAATGAAAAGAATAATTTTTTGAAAGAAAAAATTTTGCCTGACAAGGTTCAATTAAGTGTAATTATTTTTTATACAATTATTAAGCTTTTTACAAGTTTAAGCTATATGTAAAGATTCTTGCTTCCCATTATAAAATCCGAGTTAATACTGTTTTGCAATATTGTTTCTGAACAACATTCCTAACATCTTAGTGGATACATCCCTCAAAAACATGAACCCCAGTGAATATTATTGTCTAAAATAAAATTAGTTTTTTCTACTTTCTACAAGAGTCATTTCAGATAAATGACTTTATATAAATATAACAAATTTGAAATTTGAATCATAAATAACTAATTAGTTGTATGTCTTTCAGGTAATAAGACTGATAAAAATCTCACCTGAGAAACCTATAACATTGGCTGTTGGCGATGGTGCTAATGATGTAAGCATGATACAAGAAGCACATGTTGGCATAGGTGATTGATTTTTTTTTTTCCTGAACTTTTAAAGTTTGTATAATAATTTGGGGACTTTGAACTTTCCTTTTGTAGACTAAAGTGCAATATCAAATACATGAATGAAAACTAAATGCAACATGATATAGTATATCCCCATCAGAAGCCTATTATAAATTGTCCAATATTTAGGATATTTTAATTCCAAATTTTCAAGGAAATTAATACCACATTAGTGAATTTTATCTTTGCCAGTTCTCCTTCATAATAAGGTAACTTTATTTTTACATGACATGTTATACCTTTTAAAGTGCTTTCACATATTATTTTATCACTTTTGAATTCTAACCTTATGATTTACATCATTGCCCTCATGGTTTTAAATTATTATTTTAGAATGTTATTATTATTTATTTGTCAATCTAAAGATTTTGCAACTCTATTTAAAGACAATTTTAGACACAAGAAATTATACCAAACTAATAGAAAAATTCAAATAATTTTATAATTTAATAACCTTTATTCTAATTTATTTGCTATTTTTGCCTAGAATTTTTATTGGATTCAGAATACTAATATTTTATTATATTATAATTATCAATAATTTCCTATTTAAACCATATTCTGACCTGTCTTCCTCAATAATTTTATTATACATATACAGAAGCAAAGAGAAAAGTATGAGTTTTTCATTAAAGGATAAATTTTTAGAGTTAGAAAAGAGTTAAGATAGTCCCTGTTCTGGCATTGTCTCTGTAATGTCCTGTGATGAGTAGTTATTGAATCTAATATTTGTAGTATATGTCTTAAATCAATTCTTTCCTCTTTAGGATAATTAACTCTTCATTTTGAAAACTAAATTTTCTTGCTAGTTTGTGTATTGTTGTTTCCCATAAATCTCCATAACAATTTAATGGTATGTTCCTATACCACATATTAAAGCATAAAAAGCTACAGTATTTATGACAATTTGATTCTACTATGGTAACAGACAAACCAATGAATAGAATAGATTTAAACATCTGGAAATTTTGTATATAATAAAGGAGATGTTTCAAATAAGTAGGGAAAATTACTTGGTAAAACTGATCAGTTATTTGGAAAAATTTGAAGTTGGATCCCTTTCCATTATTTATAACAAAACAAATTCCAGATGAATTAAAGATTTAAATAATTTTTAAAGACCATAAAAAGTAATAGAATAAAAATTTAATGAATAATCCTGTAATTTGAGGTATGGAAGGATCTTTGAAGTACAAAATCAAAGTAAGGAACTATAAAGAAAAAGATTAATATGTGTGGCAGAAGTAAATACTCCCCCAAAACAATTTTAAAGACAAAGTAGTAAAGAATATTTGCAAAATAGATGACAAAGTCTTAATAATCCTAATATGTGAGGTCTTAACAAATTAAGGAGAATAAGAAAAGCACTGTAGTAGAAATATATGGAAGGATATGAGCCATCAGATGTCACAAAAAGAGAAATCTAAAATGAAAACTAATAAAACTAAATAAAATGAATACTAAATACATGAAAAAGTATTGTCTCACTAATAATCAAAAGAATGCAGGTATAAATTGCCTATCAGGTTTACAAAAATTACAATGATTGAGAAAACCTGGAATTGGTAAAGGTATAGATTAACAAATGCTCTCTACAATGTTAAAGTGTAAATTGGTACACCCTGCATTATTATGTACAACAAAATTTTAAATGTGTGCCTACTGACCTGGCAATCATGCACCCAGAACTTCTTTTAAGAAAATAATGAATATATTGACAAGTGTGATGTTATAAACAATGTCCATATATATGGAGTGACAAAGCAGATTGCAAAACAAATAATCCTGTTTTTATACACTTGTTTATATATATATATTAAATACACACAAAATATGTAGAAGGAAAAATTCTAAAAGGTGATTGTCTTTACCTATGCACTTTGGAACACTTTGATCCTTTTATGACAAAAATAAAAAATTTTAATTTTGAAAAATAATTTTTTAAAGCTGCTTCCAGACTGAAAAAACACTTGGCAATAACTCTTTGGAACCTAAAGGATTATCATAACCTAAAAAAAAGTACTTCATATTTATCAGCTAAAACCGTGTACTGATTTCAGATGATATTGTACACTTTTATTTTTAAAAGCACACTTTGATTTATGCATGAAAGTTTTAAAACAGACATGCTCACTTTTTCTAGGTTCAAATTACTCAATTTGGATATTTTTTATGTTTGTTAGAAATAGTGAAATTAAAACTTTTATAGCATTCTCTCCATTAGAGAAAAAAATAAATCTTTTTTGTTCCATGAATGACCATTTGGTAGTCTAGTGAGATGTATAAACTACTTACTTTGTACTTATTAGTGTAAAAATTGATGTTCTTATTAGATCTTGAACTTTCAGTTTATTTTTATATTAATTGTATTTGATATTATATTCTAATTCTTTGAAAATCGATGTAACATGCCTCATATATTGTAGCTTTGTATTAATTACATATTTGATTTCAGTAGAACAACCTTTTGGGAATCTATCTGCTCTATATTAGGATATAGTGATCCTAAGTCCAGGTTCAACTGCTATAAATAATTAACATATTCGTAGGTATATAATGAAAATTATACCTACCAGTTATCAGTGAACTTGCCTTTTGTCCCCTTTGTTACAGGAATCATGGGTAAAGAAGGAAGACAAGCTGCAAGAAACAGTGACTATGCAATAGCTAGATTTAAATTCCTCTCCAAATTGCTTTTTGTTCATGGTCATTTTTATTACATTAGAATAGCTACCCTTGTACAGTATTTTTTTTATAAGGTGAGTTTCATATAGATGGTTTAGAATCAATTATTGACATAGTAATTTGAGGTTTCAATTTAAGGAATGCTATTACCATACAAATTATCCTTTAAAATATTTCTGTAAGTAAAAATAACAGTTTATGGAATATACTTTGATTATTTTGTCATAAGTCTAATGACAGAAAGCAAAGCCAAAGGTGCAGGTGATAGAATTAACTGAAAGGGACATAAGAGAACTTTACATGATAAGGAAGTTCTTTAATTTGATTATGGTGGTGATTACATGGGTATAAAAATTTGTCAAAACACATCAAAATTTACACTTGAAATTAATACGTTTTATTCTGTGCAAATTAGAACTGAATTAATTTGATCTCTTTGATGTTATTTTGTCCTGAACCAGTAATAAGTTTTAATTTAATTCATTATGATGGTTTGAAACAGAGGTACTTAGTCTTTTTTGTTCCATGAATGACCATTTGGTAGTCTAGTGAGATGTAAAAACTATTTAATATAGGGATTTTAGATGCTAAAATAAAACACATAAGATTATAAGGAAACTAATTATGTTGAAGTACTGTTCTGTCTTGACCATTTGGAGGAAGGTGGGTTCTGTGGAACTCACCTTAAGTGCCCCTGAGTACCAAGACATTTAATACACCAGTGTCCTATACTGTATATATACCTATAATTAAGTAATAGCTGCAAGCCAGTGAAAGAACATAGGTTGTTTACTTATTTCTAATAAAAGATGATGGCAGTTTTCTCTAGCTTATTATTGTAGCTTTTGCTGGGACATAAGTGTATTGAAATGGAAAGATGTTTGATAGTTCCATTTATTGTTTTAAATATTTTGGCGTTTTAAAGCTATTACGACCCTAAAGTGTAAGTAACCTTACTTATTGTACAATATATGAAAAGGATTGAATAATAGTTGGAAGATATAAATTCAAAATTATGGTATTGCTCAGCAGTGACAGGAGTCAGTGGTGTTTTATTCTGACATTTGCAGTGCTGCTTAGAATACTTTTAGACCTTTTTTAATAAAATGGGAATCCTGTTTTCTTATTTTTATATGGACAAGTTCTTATGGGCAGATCTGCTTTCCATACCAACTGAGATTGTGTTTCTAGATTCTTTAATAATCATTTTTAGAAATTTTCTCTTTTAGGCCTAAATATTTTAATTATCTCTATTTAATTTTGTTTTTCAGAATGTGTGCTTTATCACACCCCAATTTTTATATCAGTTCTACTGTTTGTTTTCTCAGCAAGTAAGTAAATAGAAGCTTTTGTTTTATCCTTTTAGACTAAAGTATGTGTGTTCAGTCTTTGATAGATACTCAGACAGACTTTTTACATTTTTCCTAGTTCTAATAACTAGATAAAACTTTTCTAATTAGTGTATTTAATCAGTATAACAAAATATTTATTTATTCTAATTTTCAGTTTAGAGTGTTAATACCAAAGTGTATTTTATTTCTGGATGTTTTATTTTAAAAAATAGAAATGTTAACTCTTAAGAGCTTAAGAGAGAATTTTGGTAACTTTTCAATTTATGTGTAATGTTTTTGTAAAATCCAAATCAGACCAGATAACTATTGGGGAATTACGTCTTTTTTTTTTTCTACTTATAGAATTTTTTTAGATTTGGAAGGAACCTTAGTGACTGAGTTCAGAGATGAGGTTTCATCTCAAACGCTAACTCTAAATAATTGATAGAGGCCACCAAGAGTACTATATTAAAAAAGGTTTTGAAGCTAAAGGCTCAGAGGGAAAACCCTGTAATTGGTTAACAATAGCTGTAATGAGCACATGGTGATGGGTCTTTGATTATACACATGTCACTATTTACCATTCTACTCTGTCTTACTTTATAGAAAAGGAAATTGAAATACACAGAGATTAACTAACTTGCCCAAGATCACGCAGCTAAGTTAATAACTAAACCATACTTGGACCTACTGCTTTTGACTAATTGAGCACCCTCTTCACATATCACAGTATATATCTCTAATTGGTCAAGACATTTGTTCGAATTTATTAAAATAACAAGAGCTTAATTATCTTAGATTTTTTTCATAACTTTTTTTATCCTTAATCACTGTTTTCTCCTCTGTGTAAATCTGTAACTCTAAATTCCAAATATCTGCTTAGACATTGATTGCAATAACACTGTTTGCTTATTTGAATGAAATAAAGAATGCTATAAGAGCATATGACAAAGAGAACTAACCTAATTTGATTAGGTTTTCAGGGAGTTTACAGTATAATTAGAGAGACAGTATTAATAACGATAAAAACAATATGTGAAACATAGGCAAAGTGCTAAGCAATTAGTACCAACGGTAGCACTTACAACTGTTTAGAAGAAGAAGCTATCATCAAGGACTTGAGCCAATGTTTAAAGTTGAATGCATCATGCCTTAAAGAAAGTGTGGGCCTTAGATGGGAAGACAAAGCCATGAAAGCAAAACTATATGTGTAGCATATCAAGGGAATAGTAAGAAACCTAGGATGCATGTAAGAGAATTGTGTAAAATTACATCATAGTGACCAAATTGTGGAGAATCTTGAAGTGTAGATCCAGTTCACTATAATTCCAGAATTATTTGACATAAAATATTCCAAGTCTCACAAAGAATATAAATCTGTGAACGTTATGTCTAAGTTTATATAAGAAATTATAATTATTAAAATGAATTTTTGTATAAATTGAAAAAGCTATATGATTTTTATGCTTAGTTTTGATATGCTTTGTTTTTATATGCATAAGTATAACACTAATACATAGTTTAGAATCTGAAAATTTCTATCAATTTCTTTTTTCTAGACACTGTATGACAGCGTGTACCTGACTTTGTATAATATTTGTTTTACTTCCCTACCTGTTCTGATATATAGTCTACTAGAACAGCATGTAGACCCTCATGTATTACACAATAAGCCCACTCTCTATCGGTAAGTATTTTTCAGTATTAAATGTCCATAACATTTCTGATTCCCAGTAGTATATTACATAGTTATCAATTTTTAAAAGTACTTTAAAAACTAGCAAATATATTAGGTGGTATTAGGTGGTATATTAGTGGTTAATTTACTAAAGAAAATGCTTTAGTTGTCGTATGGTTTATAATTGCTGAACATAATAATTTTTCCAGTGTTTTTAGGAATGAACACTTTCATCCTAGTAATGCATTGAGCAATTGTGTAATTTGCACTTACACGTATACTCTATTACTTACAATAATATTCTATTTCATGTGCACAAAAGAAGTTATTCAGTAATTGGTTGTCTCTAGAGTTCCTAAAAAATTAGTGCATGTCTTAGCATTGCTAAATTTATGAGTAGTAATCAATGCACAATGTAGAGTTGAGGACCTTAATTTCTGTCCCAGATCCCCTGGGTTATTCTTGCTACACCAGAACCAAGGAGTCACAGATGTAGAACTATTCCTCAGAACCAGCTTATGGTTTCCACATTAGTCTGACCTCCTAGAGTTATTCAGTTATCCAGAAATGGCAGTAACTTCCCTTGATTTCCCTAGGACATCTAGGACTGGGCTTGACTCTCAATTGGCAAAGACTGTTCTCATAATTAGCTATACTGATGGACATGAAGTCAATTGGGAGTCTCAGTACTGAACCTGACTCAAGTGACTGCACTAAAAAGAAACAGTCATGGCAGAGGAACTAAATGTTTACAACAGATATAATACAGATAAATCAACTTTTCACAATTAAACTGAAGTATTCTGCCTATGTCATATTTCTTTATGAAATGAGAAAATGTATTTGAATATAAGCTACTACACAGGGGTATGAAACTACAAGCAGTGGTTTGTAAATTTGGGTTTATTCTGTCTACAGATATTTTCAAACAATTTTAAAGATCCATCTTGTTTTTTAATTATCAAATTGTAATAATTATTTACTAGGTAAATATGAGTCTTAATGTGTTCCTTTTTCTTTTTTCTTTTTAAATTTACAGAGATATTAGTAAAAACCGTCAACTAAGCATTAAAACTTTTCTTTATTGGACCATCCTTGGTTTCAGTCATGCCTTTATTTTCTTTTTTGGATCCTATTTTCTAATCGGGAAAGATATATCTCTGCTTGGAAATGGTCAGGTAAAATACATAGTTTTTTTTTTAAAGTTTGTTAATTTGATTTCGCTTGGTTTTTGGTAACTTTCTGTCATAAAAAAAATTCAATTTAAATTGTAAAAATGCAGATATTAAATTAAAATGCAATTATAAAAAGGTTTTAACTTTTTTACTTAATAAAATTTCATATAAATTAAAATTAAAACAAAAAGGCAATACAGTGTAATCTTAATATGAAATTCGAGTTACTAGGCAATTTTGCTATTCAAAATGTATTATACAAGTGAATATGTTCATGCCCCTGCATGCAGTTTACTTCAGGGTTGTGTTTTAATAATAGCCTCTGTTTATTTAGTGCTTACTGTTGTGCTAAGTGCTTTACATGCCCCATCTCCACTAATCCCCACAGTAATCCTGCTGGAGAGGTATTATGACCCACAGTTTTCAGATGAGAAATGAGGACTTAGTGTTTAGTTTTTTGCTTTTAATTGCATGAATTTTTTTTTTGGTTTGCTTAGCAAGTGCTACCATACCCTTCAGTGCACACTAGCAATGCTGTTTGCTATTTAGAATGGCCACTTTTCTGAAATGTGAAATTGGAAAAGAGTGCCCCACAGTATGTTGTTACTGTGTCCCAAATGGAGTGCTCATGTTGATAGATTCTTGGCAGAACTAGGCCTCTCTTTCTAGGCTTAGCTAGATGGGTTAGGATGTGACAGCAGTGGTGCTATGGTGGACTGGAAATGCTTGTCACCTTTAGTTTCCCTTTTCCATTGGCAGTACTTAAGTTTTGCAAAATATATTTGGAGACACAGAGATACAAGAATTGCAAGAAAGAGAATATTATGTTTTATCTGTTCAACAAACATTTATTGAGGACCAACCATTCTTAAGAAATACAGTACTGGGCTCTGGATATATGAGAGTAACTAACAGTCATGGAGCTTAGAGTCTTGTGAGGGATACAAAAAAAAACAAGCAAAATAATAACAAAATGTGTAAGTGCAATGAAGAAAATGGGTTTCAATTGTAGAGAGGCTTAAGTTATGCAAATCCCTTTAGGATGTAGAGTAGGAACACACATATTACTGCCACTTCACTTTTGAGGACACGTTTAGCCTGATTTGGACAAAAAAATGAATCTAGCTTGTGTAGCATAAAGGTTATAGCACTTTTCAAATAATAACTGCCTTTTATTGAGTTTTTTCTCTGTGCCAGGTGCATTACATATATTAGCTTATTAAATCGTAATAACCTTGTGTGAAGAAAATATTATCTATTACTTTTGTGTATTAGACAATTAACCTCATACAGGTTACGAAACTTGCCTCAGGTAAATTACAAGTAAATTACAAGAGTAGAATTGAAACTCAGATCTGTATGACTTCAAAGCCTGTGTGTTTAACCACTATTTAAATTCCTTTGAATAAAGTGTTAGCCTGGTGTCCTTCTATACAGTATTGCCACCCACCTGTGCAAAGGACCATCAAACATATAGGTATAGAGTATGCTCATTTCCACCTGCAATATTGGGGTGAAAACTGGACAGAATGAACAGAGGAAAAGAGTTAAGAAGGAAGATGTCACTGGATGAAAAGGAAATTAAAAAGATCTTTTATTGATACTTATTATATTTTTTTATTTTAAAAGTAATATATGCCCATTCTGATAAAATTAAAATATACAGGAAAAAATATAAAGAAAGCGAATCACTTGTCCTTCTACCCACATATAATTCTATCATTTTAACATATTTCCTTCCATCCTTTTTTATTTTTTGCTATTTGTCATTAACCTCATAATTTATTACCCCTTATTTCTCAATTATAATCTTATTATAATTATCCTCTTACAGCCTAAGTGATTTTACATGTTATTAAAAGTGCTTCAAAAACATTTTTCACAGCTGCATAATATCCTATTAGATGTCATACTTATTTAAGTATTCCCTTAATTTGAGAATTTATATTTGTTTTGAATTTTCAGTGACTTTTTTTTTTTTTCATGCGGGAGTTGAACCGGCAGCCTTGCTGTTAAGAGCGCACGCTCTAGCCACTGAGCCATCCAGGCGGCAGCTCAGTTCAAGGTGCTGAGTTCAGTCTTAGTTGTGGGTGGACATAGCCCACCATTGAACAGGCAATCTTGTCATTAGGAGCACGTGCTCTCACCAGCTGAGCCATCCTGCCACTCAGCTCAGCTCAGGTGCAGCTCAGGCGAAGCTCACTGGCCCATGTGGGAATCGAACCGGCGGCCCTGTTCCTCAGAGCTTGCACTCTTAAGCAAACTCTTAACCAACTGAGCCACTTAGCCGGCCCTTCAGTGACTTTTTAAAATTAAATCCTGAGCATGCTGTAAGATAAAATCTTAATGAAGAGTACATTGTTGGCCTTTAGTATGACAGGTTTTTGGTTTTTTTCTCTTTACCATCTATTACTTATTGGTTTGTTTGGTTTTTTTTTAACTCTAATGATTGAAAATCATTAACTTCTTTCCCCTTTTAGCCTACCAGATCTACCACTCAGATACATACTGCTGGAAATTAGTCCACCACTCCCTGCCACCAATACTAGGTATAGTGGAAAACAAACGCACATTGGAATCAGTCAAATTGGATTCACATCCTGGCACCTAAAGTTATCACTTTAGTGATTTGAGATGAGTTAGTTCATCTGTCCCAGGCTCAGTTTCCTCACTTGCAAAATTAGGAGCATAATGCCTACCTTATAGATTTGCTGTAAGGATTAAATGACATGGAGAGCATCAGGGATAGTAGCTAGCATATAGAAGTACTTACTAAGCCTTGGCAGTATTCGTTATTCGTTGTTATCTTTATTATGAAATCATTATATTGAAGACCCTGTCTTATCCAATCCCACCTGATCTTCTCCCAGAAACTCTCTCCTCTTTAACTGTGTTAAGTTAATCTGTCCTTGCTGGCTCTCTGAGAACATGCTGTGCCCGATTCTGATGCCATTCCTACGTTCCCTCTAGAGTGCTCTTGCCTCCTTTTCCCAGAAATCTCTCTTACAACCATCTATTCTTCAGGGTTGAGCCTGCAACCCCATCTTTTTTCTCCAGCTCTTCTTATGTCTCCCAGACTGAAAATCTTTTCAGACATCTAGTCCATGACCCATTGTTCAGCGCTTGAATGCTTCCTACTTTCCAATAATTGTTCTTGTATGTCCAAGAAATCTACAAATAATTGAGGGCCTGGAGTAGAAAACATTATTAGTGGGAAGTACTAGGAAGAGGAGTGGCTGGAGGTAAAGATAAAGTCAGTGAAAACAAGTGATCCTGAGAGAGAAGCAGGAGGAAAAAGTTGCAGTAGATCCTCTGTCGTGAGTGTCTTTAGTTGCACTGTTGAGCTGCCTCGATGTCCTGAATCGATTCAAAATGTTTACCTTTCATGGTCATTTTGACTTGGAGGAAGAGCCAGAAGTTGCAAAGTGCCAGGTCTGGTGAATAAGCTGGATGAGGACACACCATAATGTTTTTATTGGACAGAAATTGCTGTACCAGAAGCGTTGTGTGACATGGAGCTTTTTTGTCGTAATCAAAAACTACAGTGAATACTGCTGCCGAGTGCCAACCAACAGAAAGGCAGGGATCTTCAATACAGGAAGCGGCATGTGGAACCTTAGTAACAGTGTGTGACAAATTTCACATTGTTTGGTGCTGTCAGTGGGGTGTGAGCTATGGTTGAGAGAAGGTGTGTTTTTTAAAGTGTGCCGTAAATCATCCTCCATCATGACAACGCTCCATGTCACACATCGCTTCTGGTATACAACAATTTCTGTCAAATAAAAACATTACGGTGTGTCCTCGTCCACTGGATCTGGCACTGTGCAACTTCTGGTTCTTCCCCAAAGTCAAAATGAATCAGGACATCAGGGCAGCCACAACAGCACAACTAAAGACACTCACGCAAGAGGACTTCCAGAACTGCTTCAGGAAGTGGCAGAAGGATGGGAAAAGTGTGTTCCAAACGAGGGGGAGTATGTTGAAGGGGATTAATGGCAACGTGTCTTTTACTGTAATACATTTATTTAAACATTCACTGTATTGTTTGATTGCACCTTGAATATTAGAAGTGTGAAAACATTATAAGAAATGAAGAAAGGAGGAAGTTGTACTCATACGGTGAGAGTAGAGAACTAGGGTGATGTAGGGAAGAAACTATTTAGAGAATATCCTGCTTCCCATTGCTTTAGCTGGAGGCTTCGGAAGAAAAAGAAGACAAAGAAAAAAGGATCCTTTGCTAACTCAGGAACTTAGATGCTAATATCTATTCCACTCAGTGGTCTGATATGAAAATTACAAACTAGATAACTTCTTTGTAAAATGAGATCTGCCCAAATGAGGATTTTCAATAATTTCTTTGTTCATTTTATTTTTGTCATACTGAAGTATACAGGAACTCAAAAGAAAATGTCTACCATTAATGATTTTTTTTTCTCTTTATGGAATTATACCAGATTTGAAAAACTAAAATAATTGAAATTCAAAAAATATAAGTTTGGGAGAAAAAGGGAAAAGCTATTAGAGTATTTTAATTCCAATTAAACTTTTCCAGTATAGATGTTGGAATTGTCAGATCCTCAGTACCATTCTAAAATACATATTTACACTATCATACCACATTAAAAATTAAATGAGAAAGGATTAAGGAAGAAAAAGTAATTCTTCACTCCTTCATCAAGCCTTCATCAAACTATCATTTGCCAGATTAGTTGGAAGGAAATAATTAGCAACACAAAGTAGACTGAGGAGATGAAATTTCAGGTTGTAATTTTGAGGGAAACAAAATTAAACCTTTCTGTAGTGCTTACTACTATTTTTTTCTTGAAATTTTAATTTTTCACCTTATTTCCTGTCCTTAATTAATTTCTCTTTCACACTGTACATGTCATCAACTGTTGAAATCTAACCATCAAATGGTAAGATCTCTGTTAGGACTACAAATATACTATTTTGTATCTGTATTCCACAGAGATTGCAGAATCCTTTATTTCAGTTCAAATAATTTAGCCACTATAATTACCAATCAGGTCATTCAAGAACACACATGCAATTTAATTCCTATAGGTAGGTACAGATTTCTTTTAATAAAAGATTATATGATTAAATATCTTGGATTGTCTCATTTATTATAGAATTTTCCTATGTATTCACTTATTCATGAGACAAATATTTAAACACTAATAATATTCCAGGCAATTAATAGAACATGAGATATAGTATACATTAGATGATAACAGAAAAAATATACTTTGCTTCTTATGATGTCATCCAACAATTTGTCAAATGTTTAAAATCTGTAATAAAGACAGTTTGTACTGTGAACTGAACAATTGATTAATTCTAGGTAAGGCAGTTCTTTTATAGATCAGTATACAGTTAAGTTAAACCTGGTACAGAAAAAGTTTTCATCTTTTGTTTATTCTTAAAGCTCTTATCTAACCTAGGACTTTACCCCTGCAATTATCCTCTCTCTTGCCTTCACTATCAATCTGTCATCCTCTGTTGGATCAAACAGATCATCATGCAAACATGCTCTAATATCTCCCATCTTCTAATAAAAACCACAGTTCCTTGACCCATAAACTGCTCTGGTTACATTTTTCTGTGTGTCTTTAGAGCAGAATTTGAAGTTATCTTTTTTCGTTTTTCTACTTCCTGGTCTCTTCTCCCTTGAACCTGCTCCTATGGGGCGTCCCCCCTGCCTCCTGCCCCCAGCACTGTCACGAAAACCATTTTCTTTACCATCCCAGCCACCTCTGCATTGCTAAATTCAAGAGCATGTTTCAGTCCTAGAACTTTACCATCGGGCACAATTTATGAAGCCTTCCTTCCGCCTGCCCCATTATCTTTTAGCTTCTGTGATTTTGGTTTCCTTACGGAGTTTTCTTTTCAGTCTTCTCTTTCTACCCTCAGAATCAGGGTTTCTCAACCTCTGCACTAATGACATTTTGAACCAGATAATTTTGTTGTGGGGGCTCATCCTATGAATTATAGAATGTTTAGCAGTATGCCTAGCCTCTCCCTACTAAATACCAGTAGCACACACGCATGCATCCCCCAGGTATGACAACCAAAAATATCTTTAGATGCAGTCAAATGTCCCCTGAGAGGCAAAATCACCCACTTTTAAAACCACATTAAATGGAGAAGTGGCCTAGGGCTCAGTGCTGTGCCATCTTCTTTGTATGTATACAGGGTGAACTCATCCTTATGGTTTAAATACTGCTTATGTGCTGAAAACTCCCAAATTTACATCTCTGCCAATCAGTTCAGATTCAAATAAACTAACTTCAACAAATCCCCTAGGAATCTCACAATTAATATAGCTTAACAGAATTTTTTTTATGTCTTCTGCAAACCCATTTTCCTTCTGGCTCTCCCTATATTAATAAATGGAACCACCTTTTACCCAACTGCTCAGACAAAAGTCTAGGAATCATCTTTGATTTCACTTCTCTCAAATGCAGTCATGTTGGTTCTCATGTTGCGCATATCCTGAATGTTTGCACTTCCTCCTCCTGCACAAATTTTCAGATCACTGCCATCTCCTTCTGGATCATAACCACTGCCTCCTTCCTGCGCCTGCTTTTCTGTTCCTCCCCTTCTGACTGTCTGTTCTCCATATAGCAGCCCACGTGATCTTTTAGAAAATGAAAATATCGTCTATCTAGTGATCTGCTCAAAATCACCTAGTGGCTTCTTAGCACAGTATGAGCCACACTGATTTTCTTGTTACTTGAACAGACAACTTGTTCCTGCCTTAGGACCTCTGCACTTGCTGTTTCTCCGTTTGGATGCTTTCTCTCAAATGGTCATATGACTGACTCCCTTCCTCATTCAGGGACGCTGAGACATCACTGGCTCAAGTAGGCCTTTCTAGCCCACTCCCATTAAGTGCCGTCTCCCTTACCTGGCATCACTTCCTGACCCCTTCCTCAATGTTTACTTTTCTTCATAGCACTAATCTCTACCTGAGAGTATATATTTTTAGGTTTATTTGCGTATCTGTCCCCACTCTGTGTAAGCTCCATGAGGTCAGCAATTTGACCTTATCACTGCTTTATCCCCAAGGCCTGGAATGGTATTTGGCATGTAATAGATGCTCATTGACTGTTTGTTGAGTACACAAATGAATAATGAATGATCTTTATTAATTTGGAATACAAGTTGGGCTTTATTAAATAATTAGGTAACAAATTCAGTTAGAATAAGTTATCCAGAAAACAGGCAGATAGTGATACAAAGTGTTTGGAGCAGCTGTCTCTTCTGAGCAGGGACAGTGAGATTTAGTAGAGTCTAAACTGGACACATTTTGGCAGACTCTCTGTAAGGGACAAAAAAACAACTATAAATGCAAACTTAAGTGTACATGAAAATAACTGTGAGTGACCTAAATAGGTCCCACTTAACCAACTCATTTTCTCTTTAGCCGGATCCCCAAAATGCCCTCTGCCACTACTTCATCACTAGCTCAGTGGAAGTCAGAATGAAAAGAAACAGCAATCTTAACTAATTGATTGCAGGGGAAAAGAAAGACCATGTAAATATGTTTCTACAGCTCCCCCCAGGGCCTTGAATGCAAAAGGGAGCCCTGAACCCTCCTCTACTTCTAAGATAGACAACCATGCAGCTGGTCCCAGTCTGGGTCCAGTAAAAGCAGACACTGAGGGATAGACATGCCGTCGTTACCATTTCTAGGCGTAGGTTCCCTGGCTGCATTCAAGATCTGTGCCCATAGCCCTGAAAGAGGAGACTGGCACTTCTCCCAGAGCTTAGTTAAGTGATTGTATAAACTACTCACTATAGTGCTTTTAGATGCATAAAATAAAATACATAAGATTACAAGGAAACTAATTATGTGAAGTACTGTTCTGTCACTTAACCATTTGGGGGATAGTGGGTTCTGTGGAACTCATGTTAAAAGCCCCTGAATACCAAGACATTTAATACACTAGAGAGTCCTATTCTGCATATATATTAATACCTATAATTAAGTAATAGCTGCAAGCCAATGAAAGAACACAGATAGTTTACTTATTGCTAATAAATGATGATGGCACTTTTTTCCTAGCTTATTATTATATTGGGTTGTTGGAAAAGTCATAACGTATTTTTTCTGTTTTTTGTTGCAAAAATGCATCATCATGACTTTTCTGACAACCCAATAGCATTTGCTGGGACGTAAGAGTATTGAAATGGAAAGATGTTTGATAGTTAAGTGAAAGCCACTGATTTTCAATATTTACAGGTCTTTTCTAGAGATGATAAAAGCAGGAAAATAAGGGGTTCAATATGACTTTTCCATTCTTTTCCTATTAACAAACTCCCCAAATACCCTCAAATAAAGGAATCTTAATTGATTTTTTATTGTTGATAACTTATTTATATATACCAGGCACCCTGTCCTTTTTGCATACCCCAACTCTTATAAAAACCTATTAAGATTTTCCCCCATTTTACACATGAAAAATGTGAGCTACACAGAGGTTAAATAATAATTTGTCAAGTAAATGCTAATTGTTAGATATCTGTAATAATAAAACAGCCTTTTAATTAATTTTTTAAGCCAATGGTAAAGACTATGACTACTTTATAAACTAAATTAACATAAACTTCTTCTGGTTGTGTTCTTATTTGTGGAACTTAAATACTGACATTCTTTGGGGATTCTGCATTTTTAATAAACCGTGTAAGTTTTTGCCATAAAGCCCAGGGGAATGCTTTCTGACTGACATTAACGCATTTTTACAAGGAATCCTTTGGCCATTATCTTTCCTTTCAGGTATTGGTTTTGTGTATAATTTATTTTTTCCTGCTCTGCCTATGCTGTGTCCAGAAATACAGTGGCAAGTTATCAGCTATAACTTTGGGTTGGACTATTCCAACCCAAATAATGGTCATTGAACAGGGTTTGTTTTGTTTAAGATTTTTACTTTGTGACAGGAATAAAGCAGTTACTGTATCATTCTAACTAAAAACAGTCTGTCACACAATTCTAAACTCATCTTTGGGTTTCCAGTCTGATAATGTTATGCAAAGGATCATTTTACAGAATAATGCTTATGGTATTTTTTCTCATACTCCTTTAACTTTACTAAGCTAGTCACAGACTTCAAATGAAATTGGCTTAAATAATGCAAGTGATTTTTTAAATAATGAAGTTACTTTTTGCCTTACATCTGATTTAGCATCATGGTAACACAGAAGGCAATAATTGTTTATTCTTTTTGTTTAGATGTTTGGAAACTGGACATTTGGCACCTTGGTCTTCACAGTCATGGTTATTACAGTCACAGTAAAGGTATGGTACCGAAATTAGACACATGGACACATTTTGTGTCTGTATAATTCATAAACTTCATTTTTTTAGCCATAGATAGATATTTTTCTCTTTTCCTTTTTTAGTCATGAATAATTTCACTGATTGCTATTTAGTAATTTATTTTTGTTTTTGTTAAAAGTCTTTTTTAAGTTCAGCATGTTGGAAAGTCTCTGCTGATTTTTATGGTCAAATAAAGGTTAACCCCACAATACTTACCTCTGAAATTTTGATTCTGTGTATATAATGCAAGATAAAACAATTGTTTTAGGCAATAGAGTTGAGAATAAAGTACTCATGAAATTTCAGTGCTGCTTCCTCATAGAAGAAAAATATTATAAACTTGAAATTGTTCAATTTCATACTAGGAGCTTTGCATTAATTTTTATCTTCTCAGTCTTTACCATAAGAACCTTTGTCACTTATAATTACAGTATTTTGCTATGTATAATGCGCACCCACAGTTTTGGCCCAAACTTTCAGGGAAAAAAATCTTTTGTTTTAATGTTTTAATTCAGATTTTTATTTGTTTACATTTAGGTACTCGCTTTTTGTATTATAAAGGAATTTTAGCATTTATTTTTTAACATGTTATGGTAAAGAAATTTCATATAACAAATAATTATAAAACACAAGAACAGAGATACAAGGTACAAGAAAAAGAATTACAAACATTTATATAGATACGGAATTAGTACTATGTATAATATGCACCCTTATTTTTCCCTCACAAATTTGGGCAAAAAAGTGCGCATTATACATGGCAAAATACAGTAATACATTTTATTCATGAGTTTTATCTGAGAGGTTAAAGATTTATTAGTTTATATTAAGGATTTTTTTTGTTTTTATTTTTAGATGGCTTTGGAAACTCATTTTTGGACCTGGATCAACCATCTTGTTACCTGGGGATCTATTGTATTCTATTTTGTATTTTCTATGTTTTATGGAGGGATTTTCTGGTGAGTGACTATATTACATTTTAATTATATTGATTTAACTCTAATAAACATTTATTGGGATAGGTTATATTATGAACAAATAATTTTGAGATCCTATCCTGATAACAATAAATACACTTCTGTCAATTGATCTTACTGATATGGAGTAAAAACGAAACTAACAATTACTGAATACTTACTATGTTCTAGGAGTTTTATCTAAGATATTACATTGATTCATTACAATGATCTTATTATCCCCATTTTTTCTATATGGAAACTCAGCCCCAAGATCACAAAGGTTAAAAAGAGCAAAGCTAGCATTTAAACCCAATTGTTTTACTCCACAATTAATGTTCTTTTACACTAACCATATTACCTCTAAATTATTTATTAATGTACATAACAAAATAAGCCATATTAAGCCATTAAAATTTCATAAATGAGTTAACTTCTCTCTCAAAATTAAATAGTATGTTTCATCTTCATTGGTAAAATCTGATATTTAGCTACTCTGATAGATTAAAAATGAATGCCTCTTCTAAGATTCTTTTGTGATAGACAACCAAAGTCTCTCATTTAGAGAATTTATATTACATTTGCCTGCTGTGTCATTGATCCCTGTATTAGGCAAAAAACGTTGAATTCGCTAAATAATTAACTTCCGTTTGGGATCATAAGAGGATACTCTTATGAATACGTTTTGTTTGTAATGTTTTTAATGCTGTTTATTTTTTCATTTCATTCTGTATTTCCCCAAATTCTTTTGAAGTGATGCACACCAAAACCCAAAAAGAGTATCTTGACTATACCTACTACTATGTAGAGCTAGTACTTGTGAGTGCGTTTATTTTAAAATACGTTTGTAAAGAAGAACCTATAAGTAGATCTTTTCAACCTAAGATTTGGGTAGTCAATCTTTTATTGTTTAGTAGAAAATATCTTGTTACATACTTTTTCTTGTTTTTCTTGGTCTCTTAAGTCTGTATTCCTACATAATTTTGATATCCTACCACTGAGAGTTTCCTAGTCACCACTTTCCACTTTCCTAATAATAAAAATTATAGTTGTCATTGAAAGTAAATGGAATTTTAGTTTTAACAATTAAAGTCTTATCTTGTTTTATTAGTTATTCAATTAATTAAATTATACTGATTGCAATTTTTGAACATTATCCCAAACTTGTATTCCAAATTAAAATTCTAACCTTCAAATATAGTGGGTTTACATGATATCTTGATTTAAGAAACTACCTTGTCATTTCTACTTTTATTAAGCCCACTTTCTTTTTTTGCAGGCCATTTTTGGGCTCCCAGAATATGTACTTTGTATTTTTTCAGCTCCTATCAAGTGGTTCTGTTTGGTTTGCCATAATCCTCATGGTTGTTACATGTCTGTTTCTTGATATTGTGAAGAAAGTATTTGACAGACAGCTCCATCCTACAAATACTGAAAAGGCACAGGTAACCATTTTCTATATTTATTTAGGGGTCTTTTATTTAGGGGTCTTTAACAATGAGTAGCTATCATTATAATGTGCTTATATCAGAAAATAGGAAGTTATCCATTACTGTATTTATAGGCATTTTGTACAGGCATTTTGCAATATAAATATTGTTAAATCTGATGTTTTTAAAGTTGTTTCTTATTGTTTTTGCTAATTTTATGACTCCTGATAAATTATAATTTTTTTAATTACATTGTGTTAATGATAGAACTTCAGGTTTTTAAATATAACTCTATCATAGTCCAGATAATAATAGCAAATATGTTTTAAATAGTATTGTCACAGCATTGTATCAGGTGTATATAATTGGGATATATATCCATGTCTTTAGAAACATTAGAATTCAAGTAATACTTTTTTCAGGTTATATTGTTTTCAACTAGAGTATGAAATATAGATTCTTCAACATAAATAATTTAAAGAATGAATTTTTATAAGATATATTCTCTCACTAAACACTTGTTAATAAATATACTGCATGCTATATATAGTGTTTAAGAATATGGCCTTTAAGGCCTGATAGTTCTCCAGTTCGAAACCCAGATCTGTCACTTGGTAGCTGTATGACTTTAAATCTCAGTATCTACATGGATGAAATTATGATAGAAATGTCTATTTTATTACCTTTGTAATGAGGATTAAATAAAATAATGTCCAAACACATACTAGGTGCTCAAGAAATGGTAGCTATTTAGTTGAATGTGCCTTTTTTGTATATTTGACTTGTACATGAACTAGAAGTCTATCTTAACTTGTCTTGTTATCCTCAAGAATACATTCCAACTAATTTTTATGCCTTGGTAAACAGTGAGTTTATTATCATTTAGTTCTGCCTAGGTTGAGATTTTTTTCCACATGTTTACTACATGCCAAGCAAATTTTGTTTAAATTTTGGAAATTTAGTAGCGTATTCTACAAATAGAAAAGCACTCCCTAAGTAGTGATTTGAGTTAGGTTTCCTAAACAGTGCATTGGTTTTCATTTCAGTTGATCATATGAACATTTCTTTAACATTTATTTGCTTTGGTAACTCAATCTTAACCAATATACATTTTAACACCGTTGAAACAGCATAGGCCTCTGAAGTCTGACAAATTTAATTCAAATACTGTTTTAACCATTTATAAAATGTATGTCTTTAATCAAGTAACTTTCCTAAGCTTCTATTTTCTTCTCTGTAAAATTAGAATAATATTTACTACCTTACATGGTTAGAGATCATGAATATAAAGCACCTAACCCTGGTCCTGTATATCGTAAGTCCTTAGTAAAAACATTATAAGGACAATGAAGATGTTGCTCTGTAATATGGGTCTCCAAATGGGGCTGAAAAAAATTACATAATTGGTTACTGTCTGCCTATGCATATATCATTATGGAAAAAGTTTTCCACTCTGCCATATTTAATTAAATATATATCAGAAAGGTTTACCTATCTTTTTTAATCTTCAGAGATAAGTATTTACAGTAACAGAATACTATTTTTAATACACTGTCTTATTATACTTTTCCTGACCTTTACGGAGAACACAAACTCCCCCCTTGGCCTATATAAAGTTATATTTCACCAAAATATATAAATGACATCACTTTAAAAATTTTATTCTTTATAAAAGTAAATAATCAGATTTATTTATATTTACCCTTAGGAATTCTACATTAGGCAGTGCATTTGCAAACTGTTGTATTTTCATAGAGGCTTTTTAATAATAATAAAAAGTGATCTTAATAGTTCTTGTTACCTTTCTTATAGCCTCTTTCTAAAGGATTACATAGGAAATATTTGGTACCTTAAGGTGGACCTTTAGACAAGAAAAGGTTAGAAGTACTTTATATGTTTTGGATTTTTTGCCTAGGTTAAAATTGATTAAAAGTGAAATGTGCAGTAAATCAATCATTTTATCTCTGTGAAAGCTGGTATAATCTCCCCTTTTGCCCCACTAAATTTACTTTTACATGACTTGACAGATGTTCTACTGTGGACTAGTCCAAAGAGGAAATCTCTACTTCCACTCAGGGACCTCCTGGCCTGCTGGGGTTCTGATTTTTTTTGTTTTGTTTTGTTTTTGTTTAAACAGTATATGGTCATTCAAATCCCATGTGTGACATTATTCCTTTGCTATAGGTGTAATCTTTATTATTTCAGCCTTATACTGTCTGATTTTAAATGAAGAAATGGTTAGAAAGTTGTTAGCTACTTCATTGTTCACCAAAAGTAGCAAGAAAAATCATATCAAAAGAAGAGTTGTCAGCATTTATTTCAAACTTTGTGTTTTCTCCAGAATAAAAATGTGGTGTTAAGAGTAAAGAAAGCCAACAGCCTACAGATGTCAGTCATGTATGTGTATCATGTATGATATGTCCTGCCCTTAGAGGAACAGATATGTCTTTACAAAGCTTTTCCTGTGTCTGTCTCTTAGGTGATGAATACAGCTCACTGACTTGTTGTATGTCCCATCCCTTTTCTGTCCATTTATAGATGTACTCCAACACAGTTGCTTTAAGTGACGAGTTCATCGCACTGCAGCCATTGTCGAGGGCAAGGAATCAGCTGAGCAAACTTAGGTAGAGTAGGAGTAGAACCTTGTTAACGTCTGCATGCTAAAGGTCAATTAAACAATATTTAAAAGATGGGCAGAGGCATGAATTAAGAGTGGGGCATTTTTTGTTAGCACAGCTCTGTCTCTAATTTGACCTTTATGTTAAAACCTTAAAAAAATCCATTTTCTTCTTTGAGAAGAAAATTCAGATGAAAATTCAGCCTGATAACAGGACAGATCTGTATCTTGTTATATGTTATATACACCTTAACTACATTTTGTAGCACAATTCTAATGCTTCTGCTTGTCATATTATTAATGATATGCTCCTGCATGTTGAGTAATTTAAGCTACAGAAATGCATAAAATTTAACATTTTAAGTTTCATTTACTTGAAAGTGAGACTTCTCCATTTTTTATCTCACCTTACTCTGTATTGTAAATACATGTGCATATTTGTCTTTGTACATTGTAATGGCTGCTAAGCATTTCATATCCTTGCTACTATTTAGTGCATCTATAAATAGAACAGTATATTTTATATCTCTTATATATGCCTTTATTTCCACAGACAGATACATTCTGTCAGTTACCACAAAAATTAACCAGTAGCTTAGAGATATCTTTTGATGGAAGAGAATGGAAGCTTAAATCCTAGAACTTTTGATATTTAGATACCAAAACCATGTAGTATTAATTTTAACTCCAGTCAGGTTTGAAGAGAAAAAATAATGTTACTAAAATTTTTTAGTTTTGACACTTCAATTTCTCAACCTGTCAGTACCTTAAGGATTCTCAATTATATATATATAGTGTGTATATATATATATATATATATATATATATATATATATACACACACACACAATATATATATATGTATGTATTTTTTAAATTCTTTTTTATTCTCAAATTTTCTAATCTCAACATTCATTTGATCAAATAAATGGCTTTGACAAAGCACCACTTAACCTGTTAGGTAACTCTGTGAGTTCATAATTTTAAGCTGTTCTAAAATTTTATCAAAACTTTCAATTTTATTTTTACTAGCTTCAAGATTTTTGAAATATTCTACTTTGAATTACAAAGGTGTAATACTTGTAGGTGAATATACAAATGAGTGTTTAAGTCGTAGTTAACTAAATTTTATGTGTAAAACAAGAACTAAAATTAAAAAAAACTTGAAGATTTGTCTTCGCCTTTGGTTAAGCCAAACATGTGTATCACATTTTATCTGTATTTGCCTTTCTGAAAAGAGTGGGTATTCATCACATTTTTGAACATCTAATTATTTAACTCTAAGGCAGTAGAGGAGCTCATTATTTAACGAACACTCTGGCAAACTTTTGTCAAGTGGAGATAACTTCTGCATTGAGAATAATCTTAATGTTTTTATGAAATCATAGTTTTACATATCATGTTGGCTTAAATCAAGCCACAAAAAAGAATGAAGTAAGGAGATCATAAATTAGAGATCCCAGGCTCTGTAATAATCTAACAAAGCAGTAAGCTTCACATTCATCTGTGAAAGAACATGGTGAGAGCAGGATATATTTGTCAGGTAGCCTTTGCTGCAAGCCAGCCGCCAATCAGGTGGTATAACAAAGGGAAGAGCCCTGTTGTGCAGACAGACAGCCTGAATGCTAGGGCTGCCCTTGGCACTGCTTCTAATATGTCCTAACCAGGTTAGCTCACCTCTCTAGTCTCCAGGTTCTTCATCTATCAAATGACCATTGTCCATACTGATCTATTTACTTACTATTAGCATCAGAGAAAAAGAGAAAGAAGAAATATTGTGCTCAACCAAAGGCCTGGCAGAAATAACAGTTGCTTAATTGAGCAGTGAGTAACGACTGGGTGGGCATTTGCTCACAGCTGCAAGAAGAACAAGTTTCCACAGACGTCTGTCTGCTGATGCCTCCTATGAATTCTGAATACATCTTGTTTTTGAACACTATTCCTGGGTATGATCCTTGGTAGCTTTATCATTTACAGAGAGGAAAATGTGCAGATACCAAATATCTTTAAGAGCTTTCAAATCTTTAATCAGGTTAGTTCTTCTTAAGAACTATTAACACAAGACTATTAACAATTTTCTTTTGAATGAAAGAAAACTCATTTTGAGTACTTTCCCCTCCCCTGTATTATAGGCAAAGCTGTGTTAATAAGCTATCCTTACATAAACTTATTGTACTTGTGAAACCAAGGAATTCTCCTACTTTATTTTATATACATATGAAATTCACCATAGCATTTTTTTTCTTAGAAATAATTATTGGTCAGTCATAAGACTGAGCAAATACATAGAAATGAGGAAAATTTTGTGTTTTTTTTATTGAGGACATTATTTTTATAATTTAAGAATGATTAAATTTATCTTGCCTATGGGCACATACTCCTTAGAAGGTCTCTAAAT